AGTCAAGTAGGTAATATCGAAAACGCGTTACACTGATTATGTGAATCATAATGTAGACTGCGCGGTCGGTTCAGGGACTCTCCCGACTTATCGATAACTTAATACAAAGACAGTAACTTGAGTTTCAAATATCGCTCTTATTAATATGAACGTTTAGGTGACAGTCGTTCAGGGAAAATGTGTTCCCTATGCAATCGATGAGGAAAATTATTAAGATTCTTTTATGTCTGGAAGCATTTGTTTTTTCTTAACACGCATTGGCGTGCACGAGCCGTTTGAGGTTCATGGCCATATTTCTTGTGCATATTGTAACGATTTAAGCAAATATTTAAGCTCGAACATTCGCGTACGCCTTCGTGTTCGAAATGGGAAAAAAATTCACCCGCCGAAGTCTAGTAAAATAAATCTTAATAAAATAGGTCGCACGCGCAGCCTAATCTACCTTGTGCGACTTTTTTGTTATTTCGCCCATTCTTGGAACTTTACGGGACTACTCCCACCTCTCGTTCCCACCTCTGCAACTCCTGTGTAGCCAGGCAGGATCTACAGCTTAACCGCCAATAATAAGCCAACCAGTGAAGTTTGTCCCGGAGGAAAGTTAAACCGTTTGGACCACAACGAAATTAATCAGAAGAACATAGGAGGAATTCGAGAGCTCTTGCGCAGACCGCAGCGCCGTAGCACAGAATACATAATAGTAGCAACAGAAATTGCACTCCTTTGTGTAGGATCAGATGCCGACATTTTAACGGTAATAATAATAATGCAACGCACATGGTGCATTCGAAATCGCACCTTACTACTACGCTTACAAAGAGCGCATTTTTTTTGTATTCAGAATTGATCTACCTCACAGCTCAAGCGTCAGGGTTGTATAAGCAAAGTAAAATAAATATAGCCTGACCAGGAACATAAAAACCCTGGCATAGAGGCGCTTCAATTGCATTTGATAGTGCAACACTGAGTACAGTCGTACATGTGTTAAATTAATAGGCTAAATTTATGTATCAGGATTCAGGATTACGGGCTAATTTGATATTTTCATAAATGAACGAAAAATATTATTAAAGGTAACCTGGTTTAAATAAATTAAATGAAACCATCAATCGAGCTAGTAGGATTNAAGTTTTATCATTGTAAATTAACTGACTTCATGACCTTATAATTTTTAACGATTAAAATGTTCGTCTTTCAAGCCGATATACTTTTCGGCGATACTTAGTGCTGAAAAAAACTTAACTACTCATAAAATAATATCATTACAGTCCCTATGGACCAGTCACTTGCAATAATGTTATAATTCATTAATCTTTTTGTGAGGATTACAAGGAACTACATCGTCTCAATCTTGAATATCATACAAATCAATATTTTCATATAAAACTATTTGTTTTCTATAGTCCCAATATGTAATCAATTTAATCACCCGTTAAAGCAGTGCACTGACCGTCTTAGGCTGGGTTCCACCATCAAACATTAACTTTGACAAACGTCAAAAATCTGTCAAACTCCATACAAAAAACACCGGTTATCGTCATAGTTAAGGTCAAAATTAGGTGGTGCAACTCAGCCTAAGTAAATAATAAAATGTCTAAGCAAAAAACAGAGAATGCCCCTAGCATAACATTCAACCTCAATAATAACTTTTCCTAAAAATATAACTCACCAGCAATCAGTCATTTTCATGACAGTATTTTGTAATGACTAAGTAAAAGAGAAATAAATCAACATTATTATTATTTTTATTTATACGTGGTTCTTTACACATGAATAACATGAATAAAATAATAAGAATATAATTAATTTGGAAATACAAATTCCCAATAGTCCGGTAACTCCTCGTGATAAGCTAAATGGGCTTGTGTTACAAGTGGGTTCATCACAAAATCAAATCAAATTAAATTTTAACCACTAATGGTTCAAATCACGGCGCACCGTAGCGGGCATCGAACCCGCGTTCCTCTGATCCGGCCCGACCACCGACACAATGGACAACACGCATAAGTTGTAATGTTAAGTTAAATTATGACTTAATTTAAAGTTTAGATCACACACATTACACTAGTTTTTATTTCACCTCAATCCATCCAGTATTACCGAAGATAGAGCCTCGAGAAGTTTACGGACTTTTTAAAATTTTCAAAAATTTCCAATTTTCGCGCGTGACGTCACAACATGATTTTGCAGCCCCCGCACGTTAACCCATTTACCACTTTTTGTCTTTTTCCAACTAAAATAAAACTAAAGGAAAAATAACCAAGTTTGTGTCTCTGTGCTCAATAACGAGTAAATAGTCCAGTTATTTGTTAATTTTACTTGGAAAGTTTTCCGGAATTTTTGAAAATTGGTGAATAAATAGATTTCGCTATGTTCTTTCCGAATTTTGTGACCTCGTTTATAGCCGCGCGCGCGCCCGCCTTATTAAAAAAATCCGCCTTAAAAAAGGTTTTTGACAACTACTTTTTTCATTTTATAATTTTTGGGACATTGACAAGCTAAGAAGCTTTGATAAATGTGATAAATTTCATGTCATGTAAGTTAAATAGATTTAGAGTTGTGAAACAGTCAAATTAATGTACCTGCTAAATTGCGAGTTCTTTTTTCTTTGATCATGGCAGGACACGCTGCCGGGTGTCCTAAATATGCTGAAGTATAAAAAAATTCGCGTTGCTGAAGTATACATTTTTTTTTGTCTTGTTTGTTTCTACATTACATAATTGTATCCTACTATTATTATAGATGCGAAAGTTTGGATGTCTGGAAGTTTAAAATAAAGTAAAGTAATGTTTATTTCTCNATTAGTACCATTAGTTTTCCGCAACATGGCGAGGGTTTTTATGTTCCTGGTCAGGCTATAAAAACTAAATTTTAATAAACATTTACCTATTGTATTTACGATTGGTAAACTTTAATCTAGTGGTGTTTGTATAATCGTACCATCTCTAAAGTCCTATTAATAAACTTCAGTGTTGCGATAATTCGAAATTGGACAAACAGTTTTAAAAGGTGTAGTGTCGGAAAATACACACGGTGAAGTAAAGTTAATGTTTTTATTAGCTAAAATATTTTTTTTTGCTACAGTTTTTTGTCATAAATATTTCAAAATTATTTAAAAAGTGTAGATTTATTTAATTATTTAAATTGCTACAGTTAATAATTTTTCCTAAATATTTCGGTTTTCCATTAAAGAAGAATAACAGTGCTGTTGGAACAATAAAACTTGATTGCGACGATGATCGATCGAGCGTTTATAGAAATACGCGTGTGTTCACAGGCGCGTGGCGGCCCTGACTGATTTTCAACTTGAAGTTGTCGCGCGCTGTATGCAATTATCTCGGCCGCCATAGGCGAGTGACGGAGGCTGGCCGTAGCCACGCCCTCCGTGTCGTACGCGCATCCTAGTCTACTACCTTGCGCGACTTTTTTGTTGTTCCGCCCATTCTTGGAACTATTTACTGACTTCCAATTTGTTTCACTTACCTGGAAGGTGTAAGCGCACTCAGTGTAACGAGCCAGCCCAGTAAGCAGGCGCACCATGAGCCGCCACGAGCGCGCCGCTAGCAACCGAGCGGAGAGCGCCTGCGCAGACCGCAGCGCCGTGGCCACGCCCTCCGTGTCGCACGCGCAGCCTATTCTATCCTACTATTTTTTCTGATATTCCGCTCATTCTTGGAACTTTGCAGGACTATTCTAACCTCTCGTTTCCACCTCTGCAACTCCTGTATAGCCAGGTTAACCGCCAATAAAAACCCAACGAGTAAAGGACAAGTTTGTCTCGGAGGAAAGTTAAACCGTTTGGGCCCACAACGAAATTAATCCATAGGAGGAATTCGAGAGCGCTTGCGCAGACCGCAGCGCCGTGGCCACGCCCTCCGTGTCGCACGCGCAGCCTAGTCTACCTTGCGCGACTTTTTTGTTGTTCCGCTCATTCTTGGAACTACTATGTTCCAATTCCTTTAACTCACCTGGAAGGTGTAAGCGCATTCAGTGTAGCGAGCCAGTCCAGTAAGCAGGCGCACCATGAGCCGCCACGAACGCGCCGCTAGCAACCGAGCGGAGAGCGCCTGCGCAGACCGCAGCGCCGTGGCCACGCCCTCCGTGTCGCACGCGCAGCCTATTCTATCCTACTATTTTTTCTGATATTCCGCTCATTCTTGGAACTTTGCGGGACTATTCTTACCTCTCGTTTCCACCTCTGCAACTCCTGTATAGCCAGGTTAACCGCCAATAAAAACCCAACGAGTAAAGGACAAGTTTGTCTCGGAGGAAAGTTAAACTGTCATTGGACCCGCATCGAAAAAATCAGAAGAACATAGGAGGAGTTCGAGAGCGCTTGCGCTGAGCGCTTGCGCTGAGCGCTTGCGCTGAGCGCAGCGCTGTGGCCACGCCCTTCGTGTCGCACGCGCAGTAGTCTACCTTGCGCGACTTTTTTATTGTTCCGCCCATTCTTGGAACTACTATGTTCCAATTTATTCCTTTAACTCACCTGAAAGGTGTATGCGCACTCGGTGTAGCGAGCCAGTCCAGTAAGCAGGCGCACCATGAGCCGCCATGACCGCGCCGCTAGTAACCGAGCGGAGAGCGCCTGCGCAGACCGCAGCGCCGTGGCCACGCCATTCGTGTCGCACGCGCAGCCTAGTCTACCTTGCGCGGATCTTTTTTGTTATTCCGCCCATTCTTGGAACTTTACGGGGATATTTCCACCTATCGTTCCCACCGCTGCTACTCCTCTGCAGCTGTGTAGCCAGGATCTACAGCCTAACCGCCAATAAAAATCTAACCAGTTAAAGTCAAGTTTGTCCAGTAGGAAAGTTAAACCGTCATTGGACCCGCAACGAGATTAATCAGAAGAACATAGGAGGAATTCGAGAGCGCTTGCGTAGACCGCAGCGCCGTGGCCACGCCCTCCGTGTCGCACGCGCAGCTTAGTCTACCTTGCGCGACTTTTTTGTTGTTCCGCTCATTCTTGGAACTACTATGTTCCGATTCCTTTAACTCACCTGGAAGGTGTAAGCGCACTCAGTGTAACGAGCCAGCCCAGTAAGCAGGCGCACCATGAGCCGCCATGACCGCGCCGCTAGTAACCGAGCGGAGAGCGCCTGCGCAGACCGCAGCGCCGTGGCCACGCCCTCCGTGTCGCACGCGCAAGAGAAACACTCGTGCGCGAGAACTAGCAGCTCGATCGATATTATGTTCACCTGGGAGAAATGAGCTTAATAAAGTGACCATTTAACAATTCCATTGAAGAAGATGGTAGGTGCATTAAACGTACGAAAGTATTGGTGTTTCATCAACATCATTTCAGCCACAGGACGTCCACAGCTGAACATAGGAATCCCCGCAACACCATCTAACAACCCCATTGAAGAAGAGTAGTGAGGTGGAGGTGGTGCATTAAACATTTATGCAGGTAATTGGTCTGTTATCATCATCATTTCAGCCACAGGACGTCCACTGCTGATCAATGGCCTCCCCGAATGATTTCCATGTTGCCCGGTTGGTAGCGGCCTGCATCTAGTGCCTTCCAGCTACCTTTGAGATCGTCGTCGGTCGGTTTTTATTTATTTATAGATTGTTCTTTATAGTGTTTTGTTCAATACTGAAGGTCGTGTCGTGTGAGTGTTTATTTTACCTGTCTACATTGCTCCTGTCGTTTGGCTTTCTATATTACTAACAAACAAACAGTTGTAGCAAAAGTCTGGCTTAGTTACATTGGCACTAGATAACGCTGTGTAAATTATCCAAGAATAAGGATAAGTATACGTTAGTAGAATATTATTTCTTTGAAATCACAATCCTATGATGAGCACCGATAACAGTAATAAGAATAGGGTATTTATTTACCTGCTTCGTGGACAGTTTAGCGCCTTTCGTAATTTTCCTTATATTGGACTTGACCTCATATCGAATATGGACGTTGCTTTTCGCAATGACATCAAAAAGATTTCTTCTCGAATCTCTGGACATTTTGTTCCCTACAGTATAAACTGTAGAAACAGAATAAATAGACTCTGTATCAGCTGACATAAGGGTTCCTTCTTCAGTTAATACAGATTCCACTTCATCGGCTTCCACGTTTTGGTATTCCTCGTCTATCAACGTTTCAACGTCGAGGGAACTGTCGTCCATTGTGTTTTCTGGAAGTTTCGATGTTGTATTCGCTTTGTATATCTTTTGGAATGCCATCAGATGGTCGAGGATCAATCTGCCGATTTGGCTACAAGCGTCAGGTCGCATGTTCAGGAACATTTCTACGTCGGAACTGAGCGTGTAACCCCAGAGGGTGTATTGGAAGTGTTCTTTCTGGCGAAAAGTGGAAGTCTTTACAAGGTGGGGGGATATTATCGCAGCTACCATTTCGCGGCAAAGATATTCTGCAATCTGCGAACAGAACATAACTTTAATAATGACCGTAGTAAGGACAATCTGGTCAGGTGGGGATTCTTGGATGGCTTGAACATGCGAGTGCAGGTGTGGTTTTGTTCCCTAGTCGATGAAGCACCTGATTTCGTACCCTGAGTGCCCAAGCAACTGCACTCAGGAGGATTTGATGAGTGCTACTGACAACGCCACTCTTGTGGCGGAGTTTTGGGCTGATACTTTGTTGTCGACACGAGAAGAAGATAACTTTAATAGATGGCAAGAAAAATACGAACCATTAAAATTTCTACCAAAGAAAAATCCTTAAGGGCTACCTTATATTATGTTTGGCGATTATAAGTGCCAAAATACTGATCAAACTGGAATAAATATTTTTTTGATTTGACTTTAGTGGATCCGATTGAAAGGTTTTTTGTTTTATTGATTGCTTATTTATATTTTATTACCTGCTTCGAAGGTATATTGAAAGTCCTGAAGACCAGATTCGCCAGAGACATCTTCGCCCTGCCGCTGACGAGGTTGATGAAGTCCACCGAGCGGTTCTGGTACTTTAGCACAGATATGTAGTCCCAGCCCACTTGTAAAGCTATGCGGAAGTAACTCGCCACCTAAAACCAACATTTTATTAAAGATAACAAATAATTGTTGTGTTCCGGCAGTTAGAGGTAAGATAGCCAGTTCCGAGGAGGTTCCGTGGTTGAGGATTCCGGGTGAAGCTCGCTTCCACCTTCGGCCTGATCGTCACTTACCATCAGGTGAGATACATGCCAAGGGCTTCCTTGTTGTGGATAAAAAAAAATCAATAAAATTAAGCCCTGTTAACCCCCGTGGTAAGCTAAATATGCTTGTGTTATGAGTGGATCCAAGGATAGAACGCGCGTTTCTCGGATCCAAACCTACACCCGACACCATTGGTCTATTCTCGCTTATTTACATCATCTGCATCCTAAATTCGTTTAAAAAGCTTATACAAGTATGTGCACACGGCCACACTGTTAACTATCCATTTCCGTTTTTGCTCTCGCTCTAATCAAATGGTGATTCTTTGCGATAGAACGAGGACATGACTGACAATGGGCAGTTAACACTGTTGCCGATAGTACCTACATTCCTACCAAAAGTATTCACCTCATAAGGAAATACCTGCTAAAACAGCACATTTATTGAGAAAAAATAACTTCTTCTCTAGCGAGTTTATACAGTCTAACACTAAAAACTACACGATGGAGGCTAGGTTTTAAGTTATCATGATTCTATTAGCTATAAGTTTACAAAAAGAAAAGACTCAATAAACAAATGAATAAGCTTACCTGTTTAGCCAATGACAACCCGCTGCGGACGGCTAATGCATCGAGCGCTGACAATCTATCGGCTTCCTCGCGAGCCGCCAAGTGGGCGCTTTCTGGTACATTGTCCTGTTTCTCTTGAATTACCACCAGCTCCTCAAAACTGGCATCCGAAGTCCCCGAGACTGTTATAGAAAAAAAGGTTAATGCTACCAACCATGTCAACTTTATGCAGGTATACTGAGGTATGGGAACGGCACAGGAGGAGTGACAATGACATATTGTGACGTGACAAAGCATATAATTCTGAAGGAGACCTGAAGTCTCGCTGACGCGGACGTTTACTTTGACGTTAGTTTGTAACTAAACCATTGTAACCATGGTGATATGTACATTTTGACACTGGGACATTTTGACGTTCATACTTTTTGCCACAATAACAGCCGGTCCATATGGACATTTTTAACCCTGCACATTCCAACCGTTAAGCGTTTTTTCGCATTTACTTCACTCTAGAATGGTTACAAATACATCCTCCCGTACCACTCTCATACAAGTACTTACTGTGTTAAGCGTTAACATGGATCTAAATGTTGTCTACGTACTTGTCAATCTATTTTGCAGCATCGGCACTGAAATCACCAGTCTTAATTCCTGTGGTAGCTCATACGGTGTACAAGATCCTTCAGCTAGCTTCAGACAGGTCCTCATAATTTGCACGGGACACGCGGGATGCCTATACCGGTACTCCGGTGGAGTCTTGAACAAAGCTGAGAGTCTGAACGCATCTACTAGTAGTCGCCATTCCAACAACTGGTTAATAACCTTCCTCCAAGCGTCAATAGCCTCAGCCTCTTCCAACATCACCACGTTTTCTATATTACCCACGTCTGACTCGATTTCTATTTCCCCAAGAGTCAATGAGAAAGGCTTCTCAACATTCACGACGCCAATCTTCCGAGACACAGAAGGGTCTTTCTGTCCGTTCAAAATAAAATGCAAAGTACTGTAATAGTTGTTGAGAAACACGTCATTATGAGGCTCGCTTTCAAAGTATGCCTCCCACATTCGATGTTCGATCTCCTCTCTTCTATGACCGTATTCTAAATTTTCCTCGAACCAGCTCATTATAATCCTGTACGAATAGAACTTCTGTACGGAGTCGGTTATGTTCTCTGTGTGTTGGATGAGAAAATCTGTCCCTTCTTTGAATGTTACGGATGCTTTTTTGAACGCTTCACTACACTGAGCTATAAACAATGTAATGTCTTTGGTTTCTAAAGTAACATCTTCTTTATTCACCAGCATTTGGTATTTATGCGTCCACTCGGCTTTCAAAATTTCACCGACAGGCAAACTTGCCAGTTTAGCTATCTTGAGGGCAACATCATAGTTTCGGTTAGTGATGTACAAATCGATACATTCTGTCAGGTAATGCTTGGAGTCGTCTTGGAGCAGTTTTGATATGTCCACTACGAATGACGTTTCCATAGATATCTGCAGTATTTCATATAAGGTCATGAAGTTGGGTGTGGCCACTGTAAAAATAGGAATAAAAAATGATCATTATGCATTCACTACTTATATCTTTTATGACGACCATAGATTCATAAAAAATGTCTTACCAGTGCAATTTTTCTCAAACTGCGCCACAGCGAGGCATCTCAAGAACTCTCGCTGATGGAAAGCACTATCAAAACTCCGCCCGATTGCTATCTTGACAAGCGCCACCGCTATCCTTTGCAGTGCCTCCTTCGACAGTTGCCACGTCATGTTGGCAGCATCGACGCTGTATTTACGTTGGCAGTGCTGCAAGAAGTTGCTGAGCAATCTGACCGTCTCAGAATCGAAGTTGCGGTGGCGAATGCATCGGTAGAGGAACGAAGTGAGTTGAGTCAGGGGACTTTCCTGAAAAGAGTAGATAATTATTATATTCAATGTGCCACGAATTATTTACAGTTCATTGCAGCCTAAAGCAGTCTACTATTGGACCCACCAAGGTGCAAAACAAAACACTAAGTATCTCCCGATTTTTCTCATCCATCCAATGCTATATTTATCAGGTCATCGTTCCATCAAGCGGGCGTCCTACACTACCAAGATTTATCTTGTTTCAATTCTTATATCTCAGAGCCACAAGATTTTAATATTATTTAAATACGAAGAATGGAATTCAAATGTAACACTTACCGGCATAAATATAAGCATAGACTCGTGCAGTGTAGAAATGTAGCCTTCTCTAAGACAGATCTCGGCCACTCTTTGGAAGGTGTCAACGGGCGTGTCCTGTTGGTCCATGTCTTGAAGGTTGCTGACTTGCGCAGACGGGCCCAGTGACGCTAGAATCCACTGCGGCCAGAGAACGTCGACCGCGTTTGGCTGGAAGAAATTTTATAAAACCATTTACCAAAGTTAATATCTTATCTAGAAGTAAATTGAAAAAAGTTTGGTGTTCTTTGATCCGTGAAGTAAGATAACATACGGAATAAAATTACAATTCCATGAATAATTTGGAAGTGATGTAGGTTAATGACGATTTTATTCCACATTGTTGATCCTCGACTACCAGGTCAATAACATGAAAGTGATATTAATACTAATAATAGGCCGCGGAAAGAACGTGAATGCGGGCAGCGGAGGACCGGTCGTTATGGAAATCCTTGGTCTTTGCCTTTGTCCAGCAGTGGACGTCATTTGGCTGAAACGAACGATATTAATAAACGCCGAGGGGACAGGGACTGGGCTGGGGGACGCTTACCTCGTAGCAGCTGGCGATGAGCACCAGCAGGGGCTCTCTGCACACATCAGCGGCGCGCAGCAGAGCGATGGGCAGGTCCTCAGGCCTGTGGCACGACGCCACCTACAGCCCGCGGCCTGTACCCGGTGGGACAGGGACTGAGCTGGGGGACGCTCACCTCGTAGCAGCTAGCGATGAGCACCAGCAGCGGCTCTCTGCACACATCAGCGGCGCGTAGCAGCGCGGCGGGCGGGTCCTCAGGCCCGTGGCGCGACGCCGCCTCCCACAGCCCGCGGCCTGTGCCCGGGGGGACAGGGACTGAGCTGAGGGACACTCACCTCGTAGCAGCTGGCAATGAGCACCAGCAGCGGCTCTCTGCACACATCAGCGGCGCGTAGCAGCGCAGCGGGCGGGTCCTCAGGCCCGTGACACGACGCCGCCCCCTACAGCCCGCGGCCTGTGCCCGGGGGGACAGGGACTGAGCTGAGGGACGCTCACCTCGTAGCAGCTGGCGATGAGCACCAGCAGCGGCTCTCGGCACACATCAGCGGCGCGTAGCAGCGCGGCGGGCGGGTCCTCAGGCCCGTGGCACGACGCCGTCACCTCCCATAGCTCGCGGCCTGTGTACACGCTGACTGGGAACTCGAATGAGTTGCTGTGGGTGCTCTGAGTCGGGCTCTTGTAAGAAACAATAAAAAAAATCTATTATAATATGAATTGTAAAATGTATAAAAATGAATTTGATTTCTTTTAGTATATGACATATAACTGGCTTGACTGCAGTGCGATGTGAGCTTGGCATTACATTTCCATGCAATTTTAATGCCACTATTTATTTATTTTACTTTTACCTGTGCATGCGAGGATACTTACCACTTCAATAGAATTCATTCTCGAGGCTCGCCTTTGTCCATTATTTGGGTTCGATTTAAAATCTTTATCAGATCCCTCGTCCGAGTTCCTGTGCAGCATTATGTGCTTTAAATGCTCTGCATAAGACTTATTTCCAAACTCCTGAGTCAGCTGCAACATCTGGTTTAGCGGGTAACGGAATACATCCCCGAAAAGCAAAAAGTTGAACCAAGAATTGGTGTTCACAAATTCCTTCAACTGTAACTCTGGTAAAGGTAAGTTGTGAAGCATGGCGAACTTCACCATCGTTTGGGATTCAAAGAGCACAATCGACATATCCACCTTCCCATCTAAGTCCTGCTTCTCACGGAGAGTGTCTAGAGTGACTAGTTCTAGATAACCCAAAATCTCTTTTGCAGCTTCCTCGTTACTCTGAATTAGCTTGTACATGTAGTCATTTACTGTTTTGGTAGCCTTTTCTGTAGACAATCCTTTGTATGATATCAAGTAGTCTTTGACCATCCTAGCGGCCGTCATGTGCACTCTGCACCTTGTCGGGTTACAACCAATCATCGCAACGAATGATATAGCGCATGCCGTCATGGCAGGGTCAGACCAATTCTGCAAAGCCAAGGCGTGAGCTTCACAACAAGCACTCTTAACACTCTTTTCTTGCAAGCGATTGTACGTTAGATATTGCTGTTCCACGAAAGCTTGACTGGCATTGCAAGGTCTATATTGCTTCAAATAATAAACGTGGTTCAACTTCGCAACATATCCATATCTTTTCATCAACTTTTCGTTCGCGAAATCTGGCATATCCATGGATTTTTGCGTGAGTAACTTAACGCTAACGGTGTTAACATCCACTTCGTTAGCTAAAAGACTGCCGAGGCTGCGTCTGTCAGGTTTGTCGGTAATAAGACTCTTAGCATTCTGATTTATCAGTTGAAACTCAAATATTTTTGATACATCCAATCCTCGGTACCCAGACAGTAATTGATATACATTCACATCCTGAGACTGTTTCTGATTATTAATTTTTGAAAACTTTTGGTAAATATTATACAAATGAGACAACTTCTTCTTATACCCTTTGTTTGGCAGTTTAAAGTCTTTAAAGTACAAAAATTCTTCTTTAGAAAAAATATCAAATAGTTTCGCATTATCCTCTAAAAGTATCATGCCAAGAATTAAATGAGGATTTGAAGATATGTAATCATCAATTTCATCTTTGGCTATTTGTTGGCAGGTCTTGTACACTGGGACCACGTGACTCTGCCGGTCGGATGTCTGTTCGATGCTTTTAAATAGCAACCATAACTCTATGCATTCCTTAGCTTCTTGTTCTACATCAGATAGATGTGATTCTAAAATATTACCTTCAACACACATGGTCAAAACCTTGTACAGTTTATTTTTAACACAATATTTAGCTAATGCTACATAAAAGTCTGGTTTGCTTATAGTAGAGCATGTTTCAGTGAAGATATCGTCAATAAGCTTTAAATTCTGCGTTCGAGAGAGTCTAGATATAGTAACATATAAGTTGTTGCGTTCATCTTCATTTACTATGCCATAGGAAGACAATGTGTCGTAGATACACATTTTAGTGTAGCAATAGCAGTTGCTATTAGCAATGCTGGCAATCATATCGTCAGTAATTGACCAGTTGCGAAAAATCTCGTCTAATTTGTCAAGGATATCATTACTGAACCCTTTTGTATCAACATTGAGAAACTTTTGGACAAAGTTTTCGTTATTAAAAAAGTTGTAGCGAGCATTCATATCGCGCACCACTTCCGACATCTGCACATTAATCCAGCGAACGAGTATCATCGCTTTATTATGTTGCACCAGGTGATCCCATACTGCTTGAGGTGTTGAGAAGTCCAGTAAGGAAAACTCTGGAAGTAAATAAAAAATAACTGATACAACATAATACACTTGCAATAGGCAATTAACATAAATAATCAGTGTAGCATACTTATAAAATTTTTACGGATATCACTCCAAACTATGTAGTGCATGCTTAAATAGATTACACAGCAAGCATCGTTATCACAGCCTCTTTACCAACATTGATATCATAAATTAATTAGTTTAATATAAACAACAACACCCATTTGTTCCCCTCAAATGTGTCAAATAGGTACTTACAAACTAAATAAATATCATTAAACTCAATGCTACTTGTCATTAGTAATAAATAAGGCAATGAGCAATTCAAGTAGCTTTCATTCAGTGTTTTAAATAGTAATCTGTAGCTGGTTTTTAACGCTTAAATTAAGACTACCAACCTATGAGAACACAATATACTTTAAGATCGGATTGACACAATAAGAAAAAACTTACCAAATGACTCAAAGAACAGTGTAGTAGCTATTTTACTTTTCCATAGACTTGGGTACTTCTCAATGTTCTCAACCGTCAAGGCTTTTATTTCACTCTCATTTACAATTATTCTGTCTTTGCCGACGCCAAACACTTTGTTCTGTTTGAACGTGCCGTCCACTTCAAAAGATTTCTCTAGGTACCTCAACAAATTCCAGTGCCTTCTGAACTCTTGCCATTCATTGACATTTTCGGCTAACATATCTTTTGACAGCTTATCCAAGTTTTCAACGATAAAATCTCTGTATTCAATTTGTGGAGAAGTTTTGGCAAGCGATATCAAATGTTTCTCAGGGTTTATTTTGACTTTACCCAGTATGTGAAGCACTTTGAAAATTTGTTTACGCATCAACAGTTGTACTGTCCATGCTTTCACCTGAAAATAGATTTTAATATAAATATTAGGGTATTTCTAACTTTTTGGTTACTTTCTTAAGCAATGAAAAGTATCCCACTAAACTGATATTTGATTTCTATTTATTGTGATGTAACTGCTATAGAATTCAATAGCTTTAAAAGTAGTTTTTAATGTAAATAAACAATCACAATGTAAATTGGGAAAACATACCTCAGCTAGGAACCAGTCGGTAGCCGTAGTTTCATTCCAGCTATTCTTATGCATTAAATACTTCAAGCAAAGGCTTAAATGGGTTCCTTTGGCGGCTGCCTCCCGGACCACATCCCTGGGAGCCTTTTCTTCCCAGCAAGACCATATTATTTTCTCATTCTGCGTTAGCCCTTCCATGCCTATGTGATAATATATTCATGGAGGGTAGTATCCAGATCAATTGGTTATGCGTGACTAATTCGTTAATGCAGTTTATTTTGTTAACGTCCAAAATGAGAGCAAACAAGACAAGAACAATGAAAATTTTTCGCAATAAACATGCACAGCTGACATTGACAATTTGACTGACATTAGTGACATATCTGACAATTGACATAAGTACCAGTCCGGTCCGAATCGTACTGTACAGTTCTTAGACCAGTCCGAATTTTTTAAAGTGAATGGCTCTGTTTGTTTGTCTAAATTGGTTGCTATATTGGTTGCTATGTTACCCAAAAACAAACATAGCACCTCATAGCACCAGCACCAGTTTCGAAACAACTTTGAACGCAATTTTTACTAAATATCTTGCTTTACAATTGAAAATGGCAGAGGAATTGCAAAAGGCGCATTTATTTTATGACGATATTCATAAAATACGCGTTTTAGAACCCGCTGTCCTCAAAGAAACTGAAAACGTAAAAGACACTTGCAAAGACTATGAAACAAGTTAGTAAAAGCTCTCCCAAGTTGTTTGTCGTTTACCCTAACTCAGTTATGTGTAAACTAATCACAGTATTTCCGTTATGCGTTCACAAAATGTAGGTAGTTTTGTCCTACCTAAAAGTTGAACGATTGAATTTGACCGCGTAATTTTTCAAATTTTTGCAGAACTTCAAGACTTCGGGAAGATCATCAATTCACTGCTAGAAATATTAAAACAACTTGGGGATAATGTTGAAAAACAGAAAATGGCTGCTATTGGTTCTATGAATTTGTTAAAATCCATAGCGAAGGAAAGAGAGTCTGAACAAGCGAAGTTGCAAGTAAGTTTCTCGTAGCCTAAAATACAAAATTAGTAAGAAGTTACAGTAGTAGAGGCTCAAAGGGCGAACTTCATACCGTAATGGCATTATCTCCCAGTCAACCTTTAGTGAAGAAAGGCGGTGCATAAAAGTTCAAGTTAATATAAAATGGTTTATAACAATTCGTCAGATAGTATTAGCATTCATGAAGTCGGCCTTAAAATCGTATTTTTTTTAAATAACAAAAAAAAGTCTGGCCTAAAATTGGGAACCGAACTCACGACCTTTCGCTAGCCAGGCGACTGCTCTCACAATCTACAAAAATTCAATTTTATTACAGGCAGAAATAAATGACAAGACAATGATTCTAGAGCAGCTCGACAGTGAATACGACGCTCTTCAGATCTTGGAAGCAACTCAAATAGAAACTACTGAATACCTCACACAACTCAGATAATTTATCACAAAAAACGTATTGGTAAGCCTGAATAAAGTAGCTATTTGTAAATGATTCTTCTTTTAATTTTCATTGATGTTACTAGGAACAAATAACTTTCTTTCCATTTCATCTCATAATGATTCAAAGGTAAAGTAGGCAATTTATAAAGAAAACCATGTTACAGTCTGTAAAAATGTAATTTTCATTGAAACACACATGAAAATGATAGTACAGTTATTATAATTGAACTGTATTTAAATCGTAGTGGGGTTATCTGCATAATTGTAGTTGTAATAATTTATCAAACGAAACAAATCACAATGAAAAAAATCCCATTTTGGAATATGTCAACATGAATCATATAAACATGTCATTATTTTATACAATACCTGTGATTACAAAAATATAACTACTTACGACTACAGAGTAACACAGATAAATAATTGAAATATACATACACTCCCTTGATTTCATGTTAATTTTAGAATAATTTTTATGTAGTAGGAACATGCCAATGTAATTTTTTGCACCAAACACCATCCAAAACCCTTTCCTACTGCCGTAATGGTTGCGAGTTCAATTGGGAATAGAGCCTGCAAAATAATCTAAACTGTCTATCACTTTGAATTCAATTTGCTATGGCTTTTACGATCTTTAAATCAGCAATTTATTTTATTGTTGTAAATTGAAGTCGACAATCATTAACCACGCAGTAATGTATATTACTTATGTTCTTTCCAAAATTGGCCTCCTTTAGAAAGGCTCAAGACATTTGATTGATCCAATCATAATTTTAATAACATGAATTTATTTAGCCAAAAATTAGTACCATGAGATATTTGACCAGTCATAATAAATCCAAAGTATTAACATGTTACTTATGAAATCGAATTAACATTTATTGCTTCGTCAATAAGTTAAATTTCCTTAAACCGCAAGTAAATGCGCGTTATTAAAGTAATGCGACAACAAAACAACTTTTGTCTCAATAAGCATTAATGCCATCAAAAATTTTATTTGACTCAATTAAAACGTTTTCTTCGATGGGATATTAAACGAAATGACTTCTAAATGGCACATTTTTGGTTACCAATAGACTATTCAAAAATTTGGATGAAAATGTGACTGAAATGTATCAAGTAACATAAATTGCTTTCTTTAGCTACCTTAATCAAAAAGTAAGATTTCACCTAATATTAAGTAATTATGGAAATAAAAAAACTAAAATCAAAACACTAATTATTCAGTAACTTACACTTAAGACTGCTTAAATACTACATCCTATCATCAACAAGTCAGTTCTTACTTTGGGAGTAATAATAACTCCCCCATCAGCTGTACACACACTATTCAAAAGTTACTTTAATTGATCAAAATCTTTGTATCTAAAAGCTTTATCAAAACACTGAAAAATTTTATCCATGCTAATAGTGAGCATACAGCTTTACCAAACATTTTTATGAATCCTGATTCATCCATTCTGTCTAAAGCACAAACATTACTGCTAACATTTTGTGAATGCAACAGTTCTAAGAAGGCTCTTTGTTTCTTCACAGGCGTGAAGAAACATACTATTCAAAATGCATCTTGAATACACATAATATTTTCTCATTGTTATTAAAATAACTGTTTATATTAAACGTCATTAACTTTTCTATATCCTCAAGCTATGTGCATGCGCAATTTCTATCTGCTTTCTACTGGGATATCATAAAGTTTTCACTCCAGATCTTTGCATCCTAAATTAGATAACACAGGACAACTCGCATTTTAAAACGTGCAAATAGTGGTCGGGATCATCGGACACAAAATAGGGATCGTTTCCCTAAAAAGAAAACTGAAAATTAATTGCTACGAAAACTCCCACTTATAAAGATTAGTCTCCACCGAAAGTTTCACGAATACTATGCGTGGCTTGAACACTTCGTCCTTAAAGCTAGTTACACACTGGACGTGACGTCCGAACTGGAGAGGGGGTCGTCGACCTTTTGCCTCTTGGAGTGTTGTTGGTCGTCGGCGGACGGCTCCTCGTCGGCGGCGCGCTTCTTGGCACCGTCTGTGGACGCGGACGCGGCGTCGGCGATGGCGCCGTCTTTGAACCGCACGATGATCGCGGTCATGTTGTCGCAGCCGGTGCCGTCGCCCATGGTGCTGGGTGCTAGGCAGTGATCGAACATCTGACAACAAAAAGGTATATTTAAAATATATAAAGAAACAACTGAAAGCGTTTTGTAAGTATGAACTAAAGTGTAAGATTAGAAGAATTATTTACACTTTTAACACACCTTCGAAGCAGTAGTTCGCATTTAGATTTGTCATTTGACAATGGTTAATTATGCTATACAAGACCAAACTTAATCTTTCTGTAAACATAGAAGATTACAGGGGAACATTTTAAAGCATTGACATCATAAAACTACTACACACCTCTTCACAAATTTGCGATAGCCTCTCGCGACCCTCTGCCAGCCTGGGCAGAATAAAATCGCACACATCTTGACTAGACATGAAGTTCCAGATTCCGTCGCAAGCCAGCACCATGAACTGATCCTTCACCGGGTCAATGGTCAGCGTCTTCACGTCAGGGAGCGCTGTGATCATCTGCTCCTTAGCGTCCAATTCCTTGTTCTGTTTGTAGGAGTGGTCTCCGATGGCCCGGGACAAGTTGAGGCCTCCGTTGATGCGGCCGTCGTTGGAGACTTTGCCCCCGGCCTTTGTGATCCTCTCCAGTTCGGGAGTATCCTCCGGTTTGTGGTCTATCGACATGTCGATAGCTTTGCCTTCTCTGCAGATGATGCATCGCGAATCGCCAGCGTTCGCAACGTAAAGCTCATTGCCTGTGAAAAATATTACAATGAGTACTTGGATCACAAGCATCCTACTTCCTACTAATATTATAAATGCGAAAGTTTGGATGTCTGGATGTTTGTTACTCTTTCACGCAAAAACTACTGAACGGATTTTGATGAAACTTTACAGCATTATTGTTTATAACCCAGATTAACATATAGGCTATAATTTATGACAATCTGTGACAAACGAAATTTCACACGGGTGAAGCCGCGGGCAAAAGCTAGTAATCTATACTGTGATCTTATTTATTTATTTTATTTGGGATAACAAACAATTGCGCAATATTGCAAATTCAACTGCTGCGTAAGTACTATACTATTACGCAACCAGCACCATTATCCTCATAGTAATATTATAAACTTATTTTGCGATAGAGTGAAGATGGTAGATATGCATCCAAAGGAAGATTCAAACAATCTTTGAATCTGTTGTGAGAAGTGTAGCTTATCTCACCAGCACATCTTGCATGTGGACTTGTGCAAAATTATATCTATTATTACAATTATCCATCAAAGAGCATCAGCAAAATTTTCAATGAGTAAAACTTATGTTTTCCAAAATTATGCAGGTTACCTTTGAGGAGCGCCACGACCGCCGTGCAGCCGCTATCGTTGCCGGGCTCCTCAGTGAGGGACGCGTCTTCCTCGCCCTCCTCATCGCTGGACTCGGCCTCGTATTCCTCTTCCTCTTCAGCCTCACCTGATAGAACAAAAGATTCACGCCATTATTAATCAGGAACAAAGAGATTACAAAATGTCCTATATCTTTTGGGACCCCTTTTAATGTCTGAAGTGGTTCATCAATTCGGAATTTTAAACTCTCGAAGCCGGTGGTTAGGTTTGGTACCAGCCACACGAGCTTCGAGCTGGAGCCGATATTTCGCCAATCATGTGCAGAATCAACCACTCACCGTCATTGGAGGATTCCTCGAGCCCATTGACGTTTTCTTCGTCGGATGAGTTGATCTCGCCGCCTTCGAAGGTTTCGTCGTTTGAGTCGCTCTCGTCGTCTTCTTCGGCTGCTTGTCTCAACAGCGTCTCGTAGACCGCCGCCGCCGCGCGACGCAGCTTTGACTTCTTAGGCCTCTCAGGCGCGGCTTTGTCTGTGCTCGACACGGGCGATACTTTCTCTAGAATGGGCATTTTTATGAGTGGCGAAATATCTCAACCGCTGTACAGGTTAGAACTGTGGCGATGATACCACCTTGTTAGCAAGGTAAGGGTGTTAGATTGTAAGTTGGGACACATTGGAACACATGCCTTTTCAGTGTGGGACATTACATTGGTCAATTAGACTGATTTATTGAAACTGTCGATTATAACTTGGCGTGATTACACCTACAAGCAAAAGTTGATAAGCCTGAACATTTATCATTAACGTTTGGCGTTAATATAATTTGACAATCTCGTAAATAAGCAATGAACAAAATCTAGTAAAATAAGATTTCAGAAAAGTATAAAACACCTTTTCGCACGACACCGCCACCTAAGCCCTAGCCAAGACAAGATAATACATGCATATAACTCATATTTTAAAATGACGTATCTTATCTCGTGAAAACATACATAACCTGCAGGCAACGATAGTGCCGCGGTTTCGTAAGAAATCAGTCTGAATATTATGCAAGCTTTTTTCAAGATTGCCACATTATTGGCGCCTCTTAGGCCGCTTTCACATTAGGGTGTTAGAAGCGCGACCAGCGTAGCAGCGGCGTTTTTATAATGTGAAGGCTGTCACATAGTATGAAGAAATTATCGGCAGCGCGTCTGTCAAGCGTATGTCGCGCTGCTAAAGTCGCCTAAGCCTAGGCGCAGACCACCGATTTTTAGTTGGCCGATAGAACGGCAATACACGGACCACTTGAAGCAGTCAGGGTCGACAGCTTCAAGCTGTCGACTGCACAGTGAACTGCAGAGTTCTATGGACGCACATACACGAACCGCTCGAGCAGCTGCAATTGATTCGGGCGGTCGACAGCTTCAAGCGGTCCGTGTATTGCCGGCCATAGTTGTGCCCGATTTTAAATTGTATGAAGAATCGGCCAAATCAAATCGGTGTAATGTGCGCACTTCCATACATGCCCATACTGATCAACTGCCCGACTAAACTATCGGCCGACGAAAAATCGATGGTCTGCACCTAGACTAAATGTGAAAGCGCTCTTAAACACTGAAAATTACTTCTACCCTATTAAAAATATTAACATCAAATGAAGACTTACCCTTGCCCTTCCCCTTCACAGGGGTAGCACCATTAGAAGATGTAATGTTATCTTCTTCCTTATCAGTTTGTTTGGAGTCTGTGACCTCTCCGTTGCAGGCGCTGGCACCGTTGCCAGTGGGCTTGGCATCTCCGCTTTGCTCCGGCTGATGACAGTTGTCTTCGGAGCTGTCTGGGGCTGTGGAGATTGATTTTGACGCCTTTTGGGCCTCTTTAGCTTTCTCGTCAGGCTCACTGGTTGAAACCTGTAGAAAGGCAATTTTTGTGAATACAATAAAATTCATCACATAAAAAAACCTCATTCATAAAACTAATTTTAATTTTGCAAGTAGGCTTTTAAAAAACACTTTTATACAGCATAGAATATTTTATGGACACTTTTTTATTCAAGCCTGCCACATCCTAATAATAATAATCCTAAAATTGGGTGCAAATTAGCTGAGAACTGAACCTACTCAATTTAGTGGAACATTCTTAATGCAAAAGCTCAAATACTTCAACTACTGGGTAACAGACACATGGCTACAGTAAAATAATACAAAGGAGTTTTTATAAGCAATGAAATAAAGATTTATGTTACCCACCTCTCCATTCACATCCTTGTCTTCTTCATTTGAATTAGTTGAGGATACACCACCAGAGTCTTCGTCCGGTTTATCCGGGGTCGTGTCCATCTCAACAGCACCGTTTTTGCTGGACGAAGCGCCCTCACCTGCCTGTTCCGAGCTTGATCCTGCAGCAAACGACAACCCTGAACTCGAACTTGAGGCTCCTGCAATATGTTTTGCATAANCTCACCTGAAAGGTGTATGCGCACTCGGTGTAGCGAGCCAGTCCAGTAAGCAGGCGCACCATGAGCCGCCACGAGCGCGCCGCTAGCAACCGAGCGGAGAGCGCCTGCGCAGACCGCAGCGCTGTGGCCACGCCCTTCGTGTCGCACGCGCAGCCTAGTCTACCTTGCGCGACTTTTTTGTTGTTCCAGTCATTCTTGGAACTACTATGTTCCAATTCCTTTAACTCACCTGGAAGGTGTAAGCGCACTCAGTGTAGCGAGCCAGCCCAGTAAGCAGGCGCACCATGAGCCGCCACGACCGCGCCGCCAGTAACCGAGCGGAGAGCGCCTGCGCAGACCGCAGCGCTGTGGCCACGCCCTCCGTATCGCACGCGCAAGAGAAACACTCGTGCGCGAGAACTAGCAGCTCGATCGATATTATGTTCACCTGGGAGAAATGAGCATAATTATTATAGATTGATACCATTTGACAACCCCATCGATAAGAAGTGGGCGTCCGAAGCTTCAAGTCTAACCTAATCATACGAAACCAGTTTAACCAGCGGTAAAAATAACCAGTCCGCTTGACACAGTACCAGAGCGGTAGAAACACCAGGCTATCAAGTATTGGTTTGTGTGTTTTTTGCTTAAAGTTCGTTACAGTTGTTTTCTTCATTACTGAAGGAAAGTGACTATCTTACAATCTGTCTACATTTCTCCCGATGTTTGGCTTTCTTTATTACTAACAAACAGACAGTTGTAACATAGATTTTATATGCAATTCAAAATAAAGTCTGGCTCAGTTACATTGGCACTAGAAAACGCTGCGTAAATTATCCACGAATAAGGATAAGTATACGATAAATTACGTTAGTAAAACATTATTTCTTTGAAATCACAATCCTATGATGAGCACCGATAAGAGTAATAAGAATAGGGTATTTACCTGCTTCGTAGACAGTTTAGCGCCTTTCGTAATTTTCCTTATATTGGACTTGACCTCGTATCGAATATGGACGTTGCTTTTCGCAATGACATCAAAAAGATTTCTTCTCGAATCTCTGGACATTTTGTTCCCTACAGTATAAACTGTGGAAACAGAATAAATAGACTCTGTATCAGCTGACATAAGGGTTCCTTCTTCAGTTAATACAGATTCCACTTCATCGGCTTCCACGTTTTGGTATTCCTCGTCTATCAACGTTTCAACGTCGAGGGAACTGTCGTCCATTGTGTTTTCTGGAAGTTTCGATGCTGTATTCGCTTTGTATATCTTTTGGAATGCCATCAGATGGTCGAGGATCAATCTGCCGATTTGGCTACAAGCGTCAGGTCGCATGTTCAGGAACATTTCTACGTCGGAACTGAGTGTGTAACCCCAGAGGGTGTATTGGAAGTGTTCTTTTTGGCGAAAAGTGGAAGTCTTTACAAGGTGGGGGGATATTATGGCAGCTACCATTTCGCGGCAAAGATATTCTGCAATCTGCAAACAGAACATAAAATTTCAAATTCAAGTTTTAGAAAACAGGTTAACCTTTTGATTAAGATTTCGTTTAGTATACCTTTTTTAATGCAAGAGTTTTTAACTTTAGTGGATCCAATTGAAAGTTTTTTTATTTGTTTCACTGATTTTTTATTTATTTTTATTTTATTTTATTTTATTTTATTTAGTATAACAAACAATTGTACCATTCAGGTATGCAGTAAAGTTATACATCGACATTTAGTTATTGTACAACCCGCACCGCTATCCCCATCTTACAAACATGCTTTGCCTCTTTGCACTAATTACTACTAGCTGATTTATGGAAATGAACAGAACAATCCGTGGAACCCACGGATACCTCTTCATTTATCGATTTATTTATTTTATTACCTGCTTCGAAGGTATATTGAAAGTCCTGAAGACCAGATTCGCCAGAGACATCTTCGCCCTGCCGCTGACGAGGTTGATGAAGTCCACAGAGCGGTTCTGGTACTTAAGCACCGATATGTAGTCCCAACCCACTTGTAAAGCTATGCGGAAGTAACTCGCCACCTAAAACCAACATTTTATTAAAGATAAATAATTCAAAAAAATTAAGCCCTGTTTAACCCCCGTGGTAAGCTAAATATGCTTGTGTTACGAGTGGATCCAAGGATAGAATCCGCGTTTTTCGGATAGAAACAGACACCCGACACCATTGGTCTATTGTCGCCTATTTACATCATTTGCATTCAGAATTCATATAAAAACCTTATACAAATAAGTACCTACATTTATATAATAAGTAAATTCATGCTAAAACAGCACAACTATTGAGAAAAAATAGCATTTTCTCTAGCGAGAGTTTATGCAATCTGTGCTGGTATGCACATAATTTAATCATTTTCTCTACATACTTTAACTATCGAGACACTAAAAACTAGATGACAGCGGAGATAAGGTGTATAATTTCTTGCGTTACGTAAGCATGCTTGTACTAGAAGGAAAAATTACAATAAAAAAAAGAACAAGCTTATACCTGTTTAGCCAATGACAACCCGCTACGGACGGCTAATGCGTCAAGCGCTGACAATCTATCGGCTTCCTCGCGAGCTGCCAAGTGGGCACTTTCTGGTACATTGTCCTGTTTCTCCTGGATTACCACCAGCTCTTCGAAACTGGCATCGGAAGTCCCCGAGACTGTGAGAGAAAGAAAGTTTAATGCTACCAAGCACGTCAACTTTATGCAGGTTTACATGTACTATCTAGCGCAACTGAGTCAGTGCCTGAGGTATGGAACGGCACAGGAGGAGTGACATTGACATAATATTGTGACGGGACAACATATAATTCTGAAGGAGACCTGCCCCCCTAGACAAAACGCACTTTTTGATCGAATCGAAAATCGAAGTCAAAACTCCATACAAAAAAGGGGCTTTTCGACCACTTTTCGACTGGTTTGCGATTATAATTTGCACTTTGTCTAGACCCACTGAAGTCTCGCTGACGTTTGACGCTACAAATACAGCCTCCCATGTCGCTCGATCAGACACAAGTACTTACTAAGTTAAACGCTAGATCTATCCGAATGTTGTCTACGTACTTGTCAATCTGTTTTGCAGCATCGGCACTGAAATCACCAGTCTTAATTCCTGTGGTAGCTCATACGGTGTACACGATCCTTCAGCTAACTTCAGACAGGTCCTCATAATTTGCACGGGACACGCGGGATGCCTATACCGGTACTCCGGTGGAGTCTTAAACAAAGCTGAGAGTCTGAACGCATCTACTAGTAGTCGCCATTCCAACAACTGGTTAATAACCTTCCTCCAAGCGTCAATAGCCTCAGCCTCTTCCAACATCACCACGTTTTCTATATTACCCACGTCTGACTCGATTTCTATTTCCCCAAGAGTCAAAGAAAAGGGCTTCTCAACATTCACAACGCCAATTTTCCGTGACACAGAAGGGTCTTTCTGCCCGTTCAAAATAAAGTGCAAAGTACTGTAATAGTTGTTGAGAAACACGTCATTATGAGGCTCGCTATCGAAGTATGCCTCCCACATTCGATGTTCGATCTCCTCTCTTCTATGACCGTATTCCAAATTTTCCTCGAACCAACTCATTATAATCCTGTACGAATAGAACTTCTGTACGGAGTCGGTTATGTTCTCTGTGTGTTGGATGAGAAAATCTGTTCCTTCTTTGAATGTTACGGATGCTTTTTTGAACGCTTCGCTGCATTGAGCTATAAACAATGTAATGTCTTTGGTTTCTAAAGTAACATCTTCTTTATTCACCAGCACTTGGTATTTATGCGTCCACTCGGCTTTCAAAATTTCACCGACAGGCAAACTTGCCAGTTTAGCTATCTTGAGGGCAACATCATAGTTTCGGTTAGTGATGTACAAATCGATACATTCGGTCAGGTAATGCTTGGAGTCGTCTTGGAGCAGTTTCGATATGTCCACTACGAATGACGTTTCCATCGATATTTGTAGTATTTCATATAAGGTCATGAAGTTGGGTGTGGCCACTGTAAAAACAAACAAATAAAACATGATCATTATGCTTTAACTACTTGTGTCTTATATGACGTCACGGATTTGTAAAAAAAAATGTCTTACCAGTACAATTTTTCTCAAACTGCGCCACAGCGAGGCATCTCAAGAATTCTCGCTGATGGAAAGCACTGTCAAAACTCCGCCCGATTGCTATCTTGACAAGCGCCACCGCTATCCTTTGCAGTGCTTCTTTAGACAATTGCCACGTCATGTTGGCAGCATCGACACTGTATTTACGTTGGCAGTGCTGCAAGAAGTTGCTGAGCAATCTGACCGTCTCAGAATCGAAGTTGCGGTGGCGAATGCATCGGTAGAGGAACGAAGTGAGTTGTGTCAGGGGACTTTCCTGAAAAGATTATTAAAACAAACACGTTTAATATATCACGAGTTTATTTATTGTTCTTTGCAGCCTATAGAAGTCACTATTGGCCCCATCAAGGAGCAAAACAAAGCACTATCTCCCGATTTTTCTCATCCAACCAATGCTATATTTTTCAGGTCATCGTTCCATCAAGCGGGCGTCCTACACTACCAAGACGTATTTTGTTTCGATTCTTATATCTCAGAGCCACAAGATTTTAATATTATTTAAATACAAAGAATGGAATTCAAAAGTAAAACTTACCGGCATAAATATAAGCATAGACTCGTGCAGAGTAGAAATGTAGCCTTCTCTAAGACAGATTTCTGCCACTCTCTGAAAGGTGTCAACGGGCGTGTCCTGTTGGTCCATGTCTTGAAGGTTGCTGACTTGCGCAGACGGGCCCAATGATGCTAGGATCCACTGCGGCCAGAGAACGTCGACCGCGTTTGGCTGGAAGAAATTTTATAAAACCATTTACCGAAGTTAATATCTTATCTAGAAGTAAATTGAAAAAAGTTTGGTGTTCTTTGATCCGTGAAGTAAGATAACATACGGCATAAAATTACAATTCCATGAATAATTTGGAAGTGATGTAGGTTAATGACAATTTTATTCCACGTTGTTGATCCTCGCTAGAAGTTGGTAAGCAAACAATCAGTCAATAACATGAAAGTGTTTATTGTCAAAAAATTAAAAAAATTTTTGTAACCGAAGTATGATTATTTTGAAACTGAGCTGTATTCTAAACATTCACTCCGATGTACAGCGGCGATCGCCAGTAATAAACAAGCTGACATGCTAAACAGTAACGCCGGGGGGGACTGATACTGTACTGGGGGACACTCACCTCGTAGCAGCACCAACAGCGGCTCCCTGCACACATCAGCGGCGCGTAGCAGCGCGGTGGGCGGGTCCTCAGGCCCGTGGCGNTTTAACAAGTTAAAAGATTTGAATAAATTTAAAAAAAACATCAGGAAAATGTAAGTACCTCTTCCATTTTATAGGTGAGCGCGCGGTCACGGTGCGCAGCGAGACGGAACAGCGCCTCCTCCACGCAGCACGAGAACTGCTTTACGTCCTCGTAGTTCAGCGACCCCAGCTTGAACAGCTGCGACACCTAACGAGCACAAGATGCCTTAGCAAAAATGTGGTATGTATTTGGTTATTTCATCATCATCATTTCAGTCATGTCTTCAATCATGTCAGTGCCGTGTAGTGACGGCAGAGAAGAATACATTTGTCACCAACCCCTACTCTTCCCGCGGGTGTCGTAAGAGGCGACTCAGGGACTACACATCAAACAGAGAACGGGCAGCAGCGCTCCCTGAAAAACATCAACCTTTTAGACTGCGATCTCCAACCCGCCTGCCAAGCATGGGGATTATGGCAAATCCCTCCACTATAGTGGAGGAGGCTCATAGTCCAGCAGTGGACTGTAAAGGGCTGTTGATGATGATGATGATTTCAGTCATAGGACGTCCACTGCTGAACATTGGCCTCCCCCAATGATTTCCATGTTGATCGATTGGTAGTGGCCGTCCAGCGCCTTCCTGCTACTTTTATGATGTCGTCGTCCACCTTGTGGGTGGACATCCCACGCTTCGTTTTCCGGTACGCGGCTTCCACTCCAGAACCTTGCCCATCGGCCGTCAGTTCTGCGTACCTACTATATGCCCTATTCGATTGTTAAAAAAAACATACAATGATAAAAGAACGTGTGCTGTGTGCTGTTTTGAAGAAGAGTAGTACTGCACAGAAGAGGGTTACCTGCGGAGCATGCTCGACGGGCAGCCCCAATTTGCGCAGGTCGCTGCCGAACTCCTTGACGCCCTGGTAGTCGCCCTGGATGGCGTACGCGGCGAACTGCGACAGCTTGTTAGTGATGCGCTCTGCTTTTGTCACCTGCCCCGGTCTGATGAACGAGTATTATCGATATTATCGACGTATCTCATTTTTTTACAGTTATTAGTGTGGAAAACTATTAGGCCGATTATCAAATCAAATCATACTGGCGACATTACAAGGTGTTGCCAAATTTTTAACAATATGACAATCTTAATTATTTTTAACATTCTCTTTGAAATAATAAGATGAGTGGGCAACCATTTGTACCATTGACATTCGGTTCATCATAGCACATACGCAATATGCATGCGTATTTGGAATAGGGCCAGCCAGATCACAGCAGCCTCCAGCCAGAACATTAATTCTTGGTATGTATTTTTGATGCCAAATTACTATAGATGGGCTTAGCAAAAAATATACTTATTATGTTATTGATGTGACTATATCTCTATTGTCCTCTATGTATCTGTATGTTTTTGGAATAAATTGCATTATCTGCAATATGAACTCAGGTTTAACGAATGAAAAAGCACCAATAAAAAATTTTGAGTGATTGCTACAATATACCTGACACCAGGGCGTTCCTTATAGAAGACGTATTGCAGCTTCACGGTGAAGATTTTTCCGTACTGGTCGTACTGCTGCGCGCCGATCTCCGAGACGGAGTAGCACGCCTGCAGCGGCAGCTCCTGGAACGGCTCCTTGTCGCCGGCCGCGTTGAACAGCTGCACCACCGGGCTGTCGCCCTGCCACGCCAGCCGCACGAAGATCGTCTTCCAGAACCTGTGGACACGATCCACGTTACTGTGCACCATCTGAGGACTGTGACTACTGTGAGTATAAATCAATATGCAATGTTTCCTAAAGCAATAACAAGGAATTGCAATAAATACTTTCTGGGACAGACCGCATTCCACAGCTGTACGGTGGAGAAGTCGCGAGCAAAAGCTGGACAATATTTGACATTCAAATTTAATTAATATCTGAAGATTTTTCACATAAATTTTATTACACCTAACTTAATAATGACGTTCACTGCATTTTTCTCTTTTTTACTTATTTTTTAACAAAGAACTATCCTCTGGCTAGCTTATCTGGAAGAGATCGTTTTATATCGACAAGACCGCCTAAATTTTACCGTCTCTTTTGTTTTTATTTCTTTTCTTTCTTGTTAGAGTATTGTGTGGTGTGCGTTCAATGTAAAACTATCTATCTGTACCTACCTCTGTCCAGTGATTTTCTTTTTATTGGGCTGGCGCAGCTGCATCTCCCAGCCAGGGCCCTTATAGGTGGTGCGCGGGAAGTCTTCCAATGGCATCGACACATCTTCATCGAAAAGTGGCGTCGGAGGCGTCTCACCCCCGCTGCCTGAGTGCCGGCGCGTGTCTTCTGATAAATACATAAGATGATTATTTTTATTGTTCTTTTCGAGTGGGTGTTTTATACGTTTTCCGGAACAAACTCAAACCTTGAAACTGTTGCTGAGGTGGCTGTTGTGCCTCAAAGCCGCTCTTGTCGAATGGGTTGACACGCGGTGACTCGGGTAGAGCTTGAGGTCGCGGAGGTGGTGCCAATACAGGAACTGCTGCTTCTTCGGCACTCGCGTCGCTTTCTTTTGGTCTGTCAGCAATCATAAAAATAATATAGGTACGTTAAAATTAATTTAGGAAATAATATATTACATTTTGAGTAGCAAATCCGATAATCATCACTGGTGGATTACCTTCTTCATAAAAAAAACATATATCGTACCTTATGAAGACAGAGAAAGTATCATCCGTTGATTCACGCGATCCCTGGTGATCGAGTCGCGGCGTGGCGGCTGGCGGTGGCGGCGCAGCCATACTCAAGAACGGATCAAACGCTTCCGCTTCAAACCCGTCAGTGATCGCCTCCGCTGCACCCTCATCACCCCATGCACCTGCACACATTATTATTGTAAATAGTTTTAAAAAGGATCAACTTAAGAAAATAGACATGTAGGTAAGAGTCTAAGTAAGTGTATCTTTTAAATGTAAATAAAATACTTATTAGTCGTAGGTACGTACCTGTGTTTGCATGATTAGCTGCCGTAGAATCGAACTTTGCTGAGAAGGCGTCAAATGCGTCTTGAGATTCTGGGAAGGGATCATGCATCATGTTTTCAGACGATATGTCACCCCATCCAGGGTCGACTGCCTGAGTGTCGTTACTCATGAATGGATCATCAACCAATTGCGATTGTTGAGTGCTTCCAAAAGCGTCCGCTGATGGGGACGTAAACACGTCGGGTTGCAAAGCCTGAGGTTCCTCCGTAGGCATTGTAGAAAACATATCATTTGGCGTTACTGCCGATATGACATTGTTTTGCTTATTCGTTTCTTCGTTATTCACACCAAATATATTTGAGGCGGTATCGGTGAATGTAGTCGATGCACTAGTAACTTCTGTGAACCCTATATCCTCAAAAGGATTTTTTTCACTGGTGCTTGGCCGACGAATTTCGACATTGTCATTTACAGCGTCCGCAAATGGAGAAGTATTTGATAGAACATTTGTATCTGATGGTGGCTCTGAGCAATCCATTGGTGTTGTGAAATCCATCACTACATTATCTGTTGCAGTGGCAAACGGCGCATCCTTTGGTGCTGTATCGAAGGTAATAGGTGTTGATGCACTGACTACCGGTTCGTCAGTTAAATGATCATTTGTCTGACTTATAACTGGCGTTGGCTCAGGATTACTTAACCCCTGAAGTTGTAATTCGTTGCTGACATCATGCTGAGGAATAGTTTCTAAGATGTCATCGCTCAGAAAATCTACCTGCTTTTCCTCTTGTTTAGGCGCCGAATACAAACTCATAATAGCCTCTTTTGTTGGCTTAACCACTGCAGGGATCGGTGCATCAAATAAATTGATATCATCAGAAGGCTGCGGTTGCGATATCGGTTTAACCGGTACGGGCGGCGGTGCTGGGCGCGGCGGGGGAGGGCGCGCGGCGGGGGGCGGCCGAGCTGGCGGTGGCCGCGCAGGCTTGTTCCTATTGATGTCAAACGCTTCGGCAGCTATTGCCTCTTCCGGTGCTTCTGGAACCTCTGGCTCAGGGGTTGGGCATGCAGAATGAATATCTCTCACTGAAACTGGGCTCGGAGTCCGTGTCGGTGGAATGCGATCCAAAAGATGTGAACTGGCAAATTCCATATGCCCTGTGACACTCAAAATTAAGTTCTGTGTCTCTGGTGGCAGTGGACGTGCAGGAATTGCGGGACCTTGAGCATCTTCAACAACAGAATAACTATTATCAGCTGTTGTTGTAACGAGATCTAGTTCAGTAGGTTTGATAAGACGTTCGCTGTCCTTCATATCCTGAGTTCCGAACATATCAAAAGGAGACGTTGAATCTGTAGCAAAATCTTCAAATTGCTTAGCGCCAATGTCATTAGGTGCTGTGCTGCTGAATATATCAACTGGCACGGCATCACCTACTGGAGGCTCATAGCTACCACCGAAATCTGAAAACGGGTTGCTCGTTGCAAAAGGATTGTCTCCTGTGAATGCATCTGATTCTGCTTCTGACATCATAAACGGATTAAGCACATCAGCGGAAACTGGCGCCGCCGGCTCATTCATACTTAAGAACGGATTAAAAGCCATGTTGCTCTTGAAGCTTACAGTATTTTTTAACCCAAAAACTCAGATTCTAAGAGTTTCAGCTCTGTGCGCCCTGGGTTAAGATCGCTGGCAAAAGATGTATCAAACGGATCCAAATCTTCTTGTGGAACCTTTGCAGTATCTGTCGGTTCTGGAGTAAGAGCTTTCACCTGAAATATGTCGTCAGACGGGTCTAATAAATCTGGTTTTCCTTCAATATTAAATTGACCTGAATTTTCTTCACACGAAAATTCTTTTGCAAGTAACTTTAACTCCGTTTTACACGGTGCTATGTTACTCGCAAAGGAGGTATCGAATGGGTCTATTTCAGTATCTTCAGAAATAGGTTCTTGAGGTCCTGAAGGAGTTAATACCTTCACGGGTATATCGTTTTGTCCACTGTGCAATAAGTCACTCGCTTTGATAGTAACTTTCGTATGATCTGATTGAGGATATTCTGAATGACGTCTCTTATTTTGGTAACTTTGTTTTGGTGCTATATCTTCGTCCGAGCGAGTTCTTGGAAGTATATCACCCACAGTATCTGCTGCCTCTAATTCTTCATTAATATCTTCAGTTATTGAGATCTCCCGCGTATAATATGGCGTCAAAGGTTTAGCTGCAGATTTTGTTTTTGGGTCTAAGCTAAGCGTCTCCGTGGAGTCAACATTAAATACCACACTTTTACTATAAGTAAGATTTTCCGGCCGAGAAGCTCTTCGCTCAGATTTTATTGGCTCGTCAGCTCGAGGATCAAAGTCAGGGTCACTGGGAACTCTATAGATTGGAGTTGTAGTAGATCCAATTAATTCTTGTTCCAAAAGTTTTAATTCAACTCTGCCTGGTGCAACAATTTTGTCAACAATAGTCGTGTCGAAAGGGTCGATATCTCCTGGATTGTTAATATCTACGGGATCGAGTGGCGAATCACCGAGCTGTGTTAAGTCAGTGGAGCTGCCACCTAATAAATCGCGAGATAGTGACGTATCTCCTTTGTTTTCTATAATGTCATCTGATGTAATTGATTCCCTCAGTCCAGAAGGATCTGTCAGGTGAATACGTACAGACGATTTTCGTCTATTATTTAGTCTTGCACGATTTTCTTCTGCACGTGGATCAAAGTCGTCGTCGTCTTCTAAAATGACAGCTTCTTTCTGCACTTGTTGCGACAGATTCACAGGGATAACAGCATCAGCAAAACTCGTGTCAAATGGATCGTCTTGATCTACATAAGGGTCAATAACATCAATCTCATCCTCAATAATGCATTCTGCATATACTGATTCATTTTTATCTGCTTCAAATGCAGACCAAGATTCTTGTAGTACTGGTTCAACTTTAATTTCTTTGTTTTTCAATTTTGTAACTTCTCCACTCACTTCCAATGACTCCGCAGCTAATAAAGCGAATTCGTCTAATTCATCTTCTTCGTTTGCATTTTTATTATTTGAATCAGATGCAAAAATATCTTCTTTGTCATCCGATTTGTTTTGCTGTATCAATGAAGTGTGCAGAGAAACGCTCAAGTCGATTGGAGTTGTAATGGGAAGGTCAGCATCAATATCTAGAATGCTTTGCTCTGCAGGTTCAGCAACAGCTTGCACAGTAACTGTTGAATAATCCTGTTCAGTATTTTCAAGTAACAAATCTCCTGGAATAACTCTCTTGGTTGGTCTTTTTGTTGTTATTTTCACATTATCGATTCTTCCAGTAAGAACTTCAACTGCTACGCCGATATCTAGAGCTTTCTTTCCTTTGACGTTTCTTACTTCCTGACCTTTGATTAAAGCATCAACATGAGAGGTATCAAATATGTCGTCGTCCTGTGGTTCGTCTGGAGAGTCTGGAACATAAGCTAGTTTTACTTCGCCTCGTTCAACTGCTTCCACATAAGATGTGTCGAATATGTCGTCCTGGTCGTCTTCTTCGGACTCGTCGTCGGTGACGCCGTACTCGCTCTTGTCCTCGTCGTCCGCCGCTGCAGCCGCGGCTTGCACCAGTTGAGGGAAGTCTGCCTCTGTGACCTCTACCACAGGTCGGTGAGGAGCTGGCCTTTCTGGCTTCTCAGCCTTCTTAGCTCCCGCGGGTATACGTTGAAAGAATGAGGTCGACTTTATCCGATCTAAATCACCTTGTGTTTTTTTAAGCACAGAATCGACACCAGTTGTTAAATCCTTAAACTTAGACCACTCTTCATTCTCTTTGACAGAACCTTCTCCTGTTTCGGATTGCTGTTGCTGATGTTCTCTTCTATATTTTTCTAATTCTTCTTCGGTGAAAAGTTCCTCTTCACCTTTTCGTTTAGACTTTTTCCCTTTTTTCTTCTTTTTAAGGCCTTTGGGTAACTTTAGCATTATACGTGCTTACAACTGGTTCTTCGTGTTGCTGAAACAAAATCAATTTGCTATGTAATTGGTGACTTTACTTCTATTTTTTTTTTCAAATATTTAAGTTAATTACTAGTTAGTGTTAACTTTGATACCTAATTAATTAGTTTTTTCGTAATTGTAAGTTACTCATAAAATTTAAAAATGAGAAGTAGGTACTGGTACGGCAATGAATATGGATAACGACGTCCTGAGTGTCATTATTAATTTCGCAATCGTAGCCTAAGTACTGTCTCAGCCATGAAATATTATGTAATTCTGTGACTATTTCTACCACACCATTTCGCATTTTATGAAACATTGTTTCTTGAATTGAATTTGTAGCGCGTTTCATACAAAAATCCTAGCTACTTGCTAGATGCTCGTTACATAGACAGACATGCCATGACGTATGTGCCTATACATAAAAGTGATTTATTGATCGACGATGTCCTGTTAACACAATCTTTCGTATTATTGCATTTGCAATCAATTAACAGAGGAAACTGCATTGTCTGCTCCAAAATAGTGTAATAAAAGTCTATTTCATGTCGGTAATACTAGGAATTTCGAAGTAGATGCTTGGATCAAAAGGTTTGTTTCAACAAGTGAACAGCAGAGAGTAAAAAAGTACTTTATGACATCAAGAACTGTAATCGCCTGGCGTGAAGTGAAATGGGAGACCACTGTGAGGATATGGACGGTGATTCAGAGGCATGATGATCAGCTCCGTGCAGTGAAGAGGCGATGGAGCGGGCGAGGCCGGTGGGTGGGAGGTCGCGGCGGCACAGAGACACACACAGCGGCTAGCTACGGACACGTACCGGGGCGCCTCCAGCCGCCGCTACTTACAGCTAAGGCATACCACTACCGCGCTACGGGCAAGGGGCTCTATACCTTCATCGCAACACGCGGCGGTCGCGGGAACGGTCGGATCGCGGGGGCCGCTGGCAGCCACTGCGCGGAGTGGGCGCTGCCGCCGCGCGTATCGACCCGCGGCGCGCGCAGCCGCCCCCGGCCCCACCGCCCACCGGCCCCACCGGCCCGCTCAAAGTTCAAGTGTCACCGCTGCTTCGGAAACCAGCCCGACCCAATCTATTTAGTTGCGTAACGATTTAGATGCAGCTGTGTCTGTGGTTTATGCACTTTATTTGTCTATTAGGTCACATTAAAAATGAATATAGGTTACTAAACTTACTAGCCATAGAAGAATTTGTTTATTACTGCTACTACCAAGAATATACTTTCTCGTTGACGTCCTCGATTAAAGATCTACCTATGTATTTAAAAAATAGAAAAATCAAGCTACCTAATCACGAGATTTAGTTTCAGAAAATAATAAATAATATGGTTTCTGAGATGTATCCTCACTGTGCATCTTCTATCGCATGTATCACGGGGAGTGCTCCGAAGAATAAAATTATCCGGACTTATTCCTGCCGCCACTTTTCGCCACCGATCTACCCGACAGCACTTCCACCCCCATCACTTAGATGGTTGGCAGTCCACAACAGTGCGTTTCTCTAGAAACTTCCTGCCCCGTACAACCAAACTGTGGAATGGACTGTCGTATGCGGTGTTTCCGGACGGATACGACCTGCAAGCTATAAAGAGGAGAGCGTATCTTCACCTTAATGGCCGGCAACGCACCTGTAACGCCCCTGGGTCTGCGGGTGTCTATGGGCGACGGTAATCACTTACCATCAGGTGATCCGTCTGCTCGTTTGCCTCCAGTCTCTTAAAAAAAAATCAATGTTCATACTTTATGTTGGAGATGAGCCTGTTCAAGCTAAAGTCTCAATTCAGAAACCGAGCACAAGTCCAGTATTTTTGTATTAAATTGCCTAACTAGCGAGGGGTCCAGGGGTGCCATGAATTAAGAATATTGTTATGCCCTTTTTTTACACCAGGAGATGCTGTGTGCAACTCCAGATACCCCAGGCCGAGTAGACAGCCAAGGGTTATGTGGGACTCCGCTAAGAATTTTTGGCGGGCTGCCCTTTAGCCTAGAACCTCATGAGTTATGAGATCCTCTGCTAGCGCAAGATGAGGTGCACACCAGGCTTAGCTTACAGATGGCTTAATATCTTGTGCTTCTGTCGCCATGCGCGCCGTTCCCACTTCAGAACGGTCTAGAGTGCCCCCTGTGAGGTTACCGTCTTCGAAGATAGCGATATAATGAACTCCTCGCAGGTCGCCACCACCTTCTTTGCTTTGGAAAGCTGTTTCAGCACGGGACACTCCCTGGTCCCTGCCAGATGATCAGTAGCTCTCCCATCAGCTGCGCACAAAACGCACTTAGGCGCCGCAGCTGGGCAGCCTCTCTGTCTGTGGCTGGGGTTCGCCGCAGCGGAAATACAGAAACTGCGAACCACTGCGGCCGCACAGTTGTGCGCTATGGGATATCGGCCCAACACGCGTGGCACCGCAGGGTTCTTGGTTTCAACAGGATGACCTGCATAGCCGATTAGCAGCCGAAATTATTTCGGCTAGTCGTTTGGCGACCTTCTGCGGCAGGCGCATGATCACACAATTTTGTGGCATCCCTCTTGTCCACCAATATTTCTGCTAACCATATTATCCTCACCGTCACCGAGTCGTCCGTACTGGTGAGGTGAAGGTTTTCCGTCTTCATAGGCCGCGTGATAGCAATCCTGAGCTCGGAACTGTGACACCGCTTTTAATGCGGCAACCGGTCGGTGTTCGTAGGTCATCTCGTACCGGATGGTATCCAGGTCCAGCTTCAGGGCCACCACCGCAGTTGAAGGGATTCGTATCTTGCACGACCCCTAGCTCATAAGTGACTACTACAAACTATCATCTGCGAATCGGTAGCCCAAAATCCTGAGGGGATGGGGGGCACCAGACCATTCTGGGGTGGGTGGTGGGCGTAAAACAGGTCGGTGTAATATTTTCTAGGTAGGTACTTATTATGACTTCTATTATTAGTATCCAGCTGAGATCGTTATGAGGACGATACCTATCAATTAGCATTAATTTATCGCTTAAACGATTGATACACTTTATTATTGTGACCGAAGATGTGTAGGCAGTTGGACGTCTAATTTTATTCAATACCTTTCTAAGTAATTTATTTTCTCTTCATCTCAATTTCCAATAATTCACAATAGATTTAGTTCGTAAAACGGAACGCGTTGTACGATTTTACTTTGTAATAAACGGAACGTAATAAAAAAAAAGAATAGCCTAGCGCCATTCATTCCTCTGGTGGCAGACATACAGAACTAATTTGTCAAAATAGGTTATAATACGGATAAATTGAAAAGATCGCGTTTGACGTCGTAAACGTGTAAGATTTCTCTTTCTCACCATTCCATTAACCCCGGCATGAACTTGCTCCTTTTCAGTCGGATATTTCTCCAGACACCTTCCCTAATTCATCGTATTATAACCGCGAGGCTACGTTGAGTACGTCGCATAAGTTCGTGTTATTTCTGAAAAGTAAAATACATTGAAATCGTGCATAAACAGATATCCAACGGGAAAATGTTCGGTACAATCGTGCCCATCGCCAACCAATCTAGGTGAAACTGTCACCACGGTACCGAAGTGCACAACGTGGTGTGGCTGGCAGTAGCCGTCGTTTGTTATCAAACAGCGAGGCCGCGAGGGCGATGGCGGAGGCGCCGCCCGGGAACATCGTGAAGGAGGGTTGGCTGCAGAAGCGCGGAGAGCACATCCGTAACTGGCGCGACCGCTACTTCATCCTATTCGACAATGGCGACCTGGTGGGCTTCAAGACGCAGCCCGAGCGGAACAACTACCGCGACCCCCTCAACAAGTTCACGGTGCGTGACTGCCAGATCATGGCCGTGGACAAGCCGCGGCCCTACACCTTCACCATCCGCGGCCTGCAGTGGACCACCGTCATCGAGCGCAACTTCTCCGTCGACACGGAGAAGGAACGGTCAGTATGCTTCACTGCCATAACACTAAATATTTATTGTGCCTGATATCATAGAACTCATCACATTTTTTACTGTGTCAGTGTCAAAACATCAGTCTTATGATATTCAGTACTAATTGAATTGTACATAATTAAGTACATTATTTTATAATAAAATTCTTTTGAAATTCTAATCATTAGATAGTATAAATTTATTGGTCTCTTAATCATTTGCTGACATCTCATGCAAATGTAAATGGCATAACAAATAATAATATTTCCTATACTATTAATTGAGAACTATTAAGAAAAATATGTAACTTAAAGTACCATTATCATCTTATCTTGTTATGGCATGAGCGCAGAGCATGTCGACCCTTGGGATCTTGTGCTTCCCCTTACTTGTATTCCCTCTCTTCCACAAAAATCCTATCCATTAAATGGACCATTACCATAATATGGTAATTGCTTCCATTCACAGTATAATGTCATACGGCATATTGTTGTGGGGCTCAGCCGCGGACATTGAAACTGTGTTTGTTCTGCAGAAGAGAGCAGTGCGGGCCATTTATAACCTTGGACCCCGATTTTCCTTGAAAGAATTTTTTAAGGAAATTAACATACTGACAGTAGCTTCACAGTTCATTTATGAAAACCTTTTATATGTTCGCAAAAATATAGATCAATTCACGAAAAAAAGCGATTTGCATAACTTTAATACAAGAAACAAAAATAAAATTTCAGACTGCATAAGATTGGGAATTCATTTATGGGGAAATGTATTAAATTATTTAATAAATTACCACAAACTGTTGTAGAACTACCCATTCATAAATTCAAAGCACATTAAAAGTGCCTTAATGAAAAAGGGCTACTATAAAGTCGATGATTATTTAAAAGATAAAAATGTTTGGGATGCGTAACTGCCTAGCTCGCATAAATATTTATAACTATGTATTTTGAAAACCTGTAAACCTTTGAAAAAGAGGCTGACAATAGTGTCTGAGTTTCTTGCGCTGCTTCTTCTCAGCACTGGCCCATTCATTGTCCTGAAGCAGTGGTAGGGTTAATACTGGGACGTGTAAAAGTGCTTTTTTAAAGCCTACTTACAGAAATAAATGAGTTTTACTGAGTTTTACATATAATATTTTTTACATGTAGTCCTTTTAGTGGCAAAAGATACTTATTATTTTACTCTCCAAATAGACTTTTGGTTTGATTGTATTTTTAAACAACTCTGTCTGTATATCAGAGCGCTATTGTGGTCCATTTAACCCTTCAGGCCTCGCAAATGGAGACCCAATAGGTTCTTAATTACACAGTCATATCCAACCACTTGGGGATTGATGGTAATTCTGAAGTTGGAAAGATATTTGCAAACATTACATTCATTGAACATTGTGAACTATTATTCATTGAACATTGTGAATAATTATTGTAACACAAATTATGGATCTGATATATATTTTTTTAAATTCAATTACAATAGATCCTAGTAATTAAAATTTGGAAAGTCATCAAACATCAATTTGAATTGAGTAATTTAGTGTTCAGTGAAAGTATCTGTGCAAGTTATTTGGTAATGCCAATTGAAATATTAGTGTGAAGGGTCTATGCCATTTTAAATTAATCCCAAATATATTGTTACTAGGTACATAATGCGAACTTAATACCATAAGACATTCTCAACACGTTTAAGTTCGGGCTTAGCAGAAAGAAATATTTTGGCAGTACTAAATAGCTGAAACGAACGAACTAGATAGCTAAAGAAAGACAAAAACAAATATACTACATACACATTATTATGTATAGTAGACCATATTTAGCCATGCCGTGCCATCATCTACTATAAAATAATAATTTATTTATTTATTTATTTATTTAGTTTCCATCTCTATGCAATCTCTCTAGTTAGCCTCTTAATTACCAGTTTATTACATCTAATACATGTGGAAAACCACAATAATTAAATAAATAGTGTAATTACACAAATTGATGATTTAATTTTTTTATTTAATACAAAAAAAATATTTATACTCATATTATTTTTCATACTAACCAAAAAATGCTTATTAAAATAACTTATTTCAATTACTGATTTCTTTATAATATTAATATAATAAGTGTGTTTTTGTATTATAAATAAAAAAATATGTTTGGGATTTGTCGTTGGCAGCATCATAGAGGCCATTTAATGCACAGGGGCACTTAAAGTATAGACTGATCCAACTTATCAACATTAAGGCTGATTTACGTAATGTATTAAGTATTTAACTAAATTTTAACCTAATTCTAAGTGATCACATTGTATTGTAACTATATTTTAACTTAATTTTAAGTTTATGTCCAAATGTCAAGCTCTTGTTTACTATGAAACTGCTTGTCAAAATGTGTCAAGTGACAAGCCCCGCCCACCAACTTGACAGAAAAATTAAATTAAAATTTAGTTATCACATTAATACCTGTAAATCAGCCTTTAAGGCTTTAAACTTGATTTTTCTGTCAAGTTGGTGGGCGGGGCTTGTCACTTAACACGATCTGACAAGCAGTTTCAAGTTCAAATTTAGTTACAATGCAATTTGATCACTTAAAATTAAGATAAAATTTAGTTAAACACTTAACTACTTAATACGTGTAAATCAGCCTTTAGATTTATAGACCCAATTTCACCAAGAATTGAGTATTGTTAAATTAATTGTCATGGCAACGGAGTGTTTGCTGTCACAAAAAAAATTGCAATGACATTATCAGAACTAAATAGCTGAGTTGCATCACCTTAACTTTAACCATAACTATAATTTTAACCTGCGTTTTGTATAGAGTTTGACAGACTGTTAAAGTTAAAGTAAAATGCTGAAACCCAGGTTAAGTTTGATAAACTGTTTGTTGGTGATGCTGGGTCTCTTATGTATGTAGAACCTAAGAGCTCTTTCCAATTAGACGTTTTGAGACGGACGTTTGTCGTCCGTTTGCAGGACCGCACATAGAAAATTGTATTACAACTGCATTGGAATAAAAATGTCAATCAATATTCAATAACCAACAGTGTGCAGCATCGCAAACGCACGACAAACGTCCGTCTCAAAACGTCTAATTTGAAAGAGCCCTAGGGCCTAAAAATAATAGATTATCAAATAACTTGTCTTATCTTAAATAAGGACTCCTAAAAAAGGAAATAGATCTTTGCTTTACTTTAAATTGCGGTCCATTTCTCTGGTTGTCATCACTTAGGAAGGATTTATTTGCAAATTATTATGTTTTTGCCTAGTACCTATGGGTTACCTACGCCATATCGAATGACAAATGATCGAAAATCAAAATATCGAATACGTTTCATCGAACGATCAAAATATCGAACGATCAAAATATCGAATGCTCAAAATATCGAACGTTCAGAATATCGAAAGATCAAAATATCGAACGATCAAAATATCGAACCATCAAAATATCGAAAGTCGATATAGATGTTTTTATTAAATTTCATCTACCTTGCTCGGCTCCGGTGCATGGTTGTGTTTGGTGACATGACTGTTTTTCCTTTTTGGGACAGGCTAGGCTTATAATAGGTCCCCACGGACATTATTCTCCAAATTTATAAACTTTTCAGGCACAAAAATACTTAAGGCACACATTAACTGGCAAAACAAAACTGTACGACCAAACACAACCATGCACCGGAGCCGAGCAAGGTAGATGAATTAAATAAAAACGTCTATATCGACTTTCGATATTTTGATGGTTCGATATTTTGATCGTTCGATATTTTGATCGTTCGATATTCTGAACGTTCGATATTTTGAGCATTCGATATTTTGATCGTTCGATATTTTGATCGTTCGATGAAACGTATTCGATATTTTGATTTTCGATCATTTGTCATTCGATATGGCGTAGGTAACCCAGTACCTATAGACTAGCTAGGCGTTTAGATCTTACGAGGTAATTTAACTCAAAAAGCTAGCATTGCTAATAGAATATCACGGTGGTAGACAGACGGCTCAGAGCCGTCTCTGATAGTTTGTGCCCCCGTCCGCTACTCACTCTTTCATCGGTCAGCATCAACCTATGCGTGATGGCGCATCCACACATGCCGGGCGGCACTCCTGGCGGCCAACCCGGCGGCCAGGACGGCACACTGGCAAGGCAATGAGGGCTATCGTTTTAGCGCTCACCAGTTAGCGCCACTGTAGAGTAAGGTCCCGTCACTTGCTAGTAGCGAAGACAGTGGCACCAACTGGTGAGCGCGAAAGTGGTAGGAGGACTATCGCATTTGCACTGATCAAGATGGCGCCACTGTAGAGTAAGGTCCTGTCAATCGCCAGGGGTGCCAACTGTTAAGTATAAAAACGATAGCCCCCATTTGAAAGCCGGCGGCATGTGTGGACACGCCATGAAGCTCGCGGGCTGAGGGTGTTGCGTGTTGCAGCGAGGAGTGGGTGGCGGCCATCCGCTTCGTGTCGGGGCAGCTGAGCGCGGGCGGCGCGGGCGCGGGCGCGGCGGCGGCGCCCGTCGACGCCGAGGACCACGACATCGCGCAGCTCGGCACCAGCTTCCGCGACCCCCGCCGCATCGTGAGTACTACCACGCCTTACTTTACTGCTCCAGTGATCGTGTTCGCTGAATAAACAAGCGCTACTACGAATAAGTAATAGTACGCGCTACCTGTGGCCATTTACATTATTTAGTTTAAAATATTTATTTGTCGTAAGAAACTTCTACAAAGTATCATAGTTACGCCGTGACCGAAGACGCTTTCCTGAAGTTAAGAATCTTCCTTGGCTTTCTATTAATATTTATATTATAGTTAGCACGAAAGCTAGAAAGTTTTTTGCAATATTACTGTTTTTATAAACTAGGGCTTAAGGGCTTACTTTTTGTTTTATTTTGTTTTGAATATTTTTGATTTGATTTGAATGAGAAAGTAATGGGAGCTACACTAGAATTCATTAAGAGGAAAATTATGTCACAAATTGCGTCAGCTTTGCGGTTGACATCTATCATTAGCAGGATACGTAATAGCTTAGCACTGCAGCACGGCAATTGGTTTCTGTTAAAGTATAACGTTACGCCTTATGGGAGAGGCTGCGGCTGTAGCGTGGGGGCATGCACCCGAACAATTTGTTTGACTCGCGGTGTGCCCCACTAAGCGCGACCAGAGGGACCCGACTGGTTTTTAGTGGGTAGGCCCTGCTCTTCTAGCAGGGAGAGCCCCACATAACCCATTGGCCCCCCCGAGCCATTGGGTATGCAACTCAATGCATTTTAGTCGAAAAAAAAAAATGGTAAAATAAACCACACATTGAAGTGGTTTTTAGTTTTTATAAAATAAAATTTTTAGCCGCAAGAAATTCATATAATATGATTTAAAAGAGCAATGAAAAATTAAGCAAATATTTAATGAGTTACGTCGCGTTTTTTTATTCTATTGACTCAGCATTCAGAGATAGGTACGTCTAAAATCCTGTAGCTATCGAATAAATAATAATGTGTCGAGGTTTATGATTGCGCGGCAGATGTGCCGCCACGTGCGTGCAGTATTTGGTAAACAGGAAAACTGCATGCGTGAGTCAACGCGCGCCCGCGCCTTCTCGGAAGCGCGACAAGCTGCGCCTCCCTGGCCGCGTCTGCGGGGTTACTACAAAAAACGTTATCTGAAGTTTCGAATGTTGCCATCCCCCTCACGCAAACCGAGATGTCAGCATGAGCGACGGTGACAGATAAGGACCCGAAACTAAGTAGACAGCGTTTCGGAGTAGCCCTCATGCGCCATGAATCACGAGCGATACCCGAAACACTTGAGATAAACATTCTGAAATTAAAATTGGAATCCGGATAGTCGTAATGGTGCTTTCGAAGGCAACGTCCTGTAGTAGTGTTCATAAATACACGATATAGGGTCTGGTTCAAATTGATGTTTCAATAAATTGCACCTATATTTTTTTAAATTACCTATTGATCTTAGCCTGGAAGTCCATTGGTCGTACAGTACACATTATGCAAACTAGCTAAATTATTTTATTATGAATAAACAATTAGCTAAATTATTTTACTATTAATCATCAATTGGATTTCCCTTTCTAGATTATTTCACAGAATATTTCACGTTGTGGTCGAATCAGGGAAACATACGAGAAATAATAATCCAAAAATAATGATAACCTAACCCAGCTGTATGCCTACCTACATAAATCCTTATTAATTTTAGACCACAAATTCTGTTAAAAAAGATTTTCTTGACTTTCAAAAAAGCCATTCGCCCGTATTCACAAACGCTTGCTTAAGTGAAGCAGCAAATCGAACGCACAGCGTTGAATAGAGCTATGTGATTTCTTCGTGTGTCACCCTGTGCGTGCACGCGCTCAGACCTCATTGTAAGTAATGTTTGTGAATATGGGCGATACTCTCGAATCTTTTTGACAGTCTACAAACTTTTTGTCGGTCGAACTGTTTAGTAGGTATGAACATGTATGAAAGTGTGCACATTACACCGATTTAGCAAGGGTCGATTCTTCATACAAATTAGAAGCCAACCAAACTATCGGCCGACAATAGGTCTGTAGAGTAGACTGCGGGGAGTCGTAGAGGCCACTGCCTCGCACATTTTGTTCAAATTTCATGACCCTGAGCTGCTTTAGAAGTATTTACTTATGGAATTACAGGATGGGTTTTTTCGAGTATTTTGAAATCCTATATTAAATTTTATTGACAGCCATCGCAGCTTTGCATAAAGGTAGTTGCGACAGTGTGTGAAGTGAAATGTCGTTGCTTCCGATGCTTTTGATGATGATGATGACTTTTCGGGATATTCTTCCAAACTTATTTCTTGCATTACTTATCGACAAGAGACCGGACACACTTGTGTCCAGTTGGTGAAACACGAGACCCCAAAAACTCGAAAATTTCTAGGTGTCTCAAAAATCAGAAAATATTTGGGTTGTGTTACGTTGAGCTTAAATCCGAAGCTTAGGCGGTTACTTTTTTGAAGGATTTTTTTTTTTCAATACCTAACGTAGCAGTTGTAAAGTCAATCTTCATTAATATTGGTTACCAAAGAACGCTACGCAGCTCGCAGGTTCATAGGGTCCATACATAGGTTCTGATTTGTTCAGATTTGTTGCCTACAAATGCTAATGTCTGCCTCGCTGGTTTCTTAAAAACAATTAAGAGCGTTTACGCGAAGCGCGGCGTTTCAAGGGGCATCATTGGAAATGATCCGCGCGCGGCGTTTTTTAATAGTTTTCAAATGTTTATAGCAAAACAATAACAATGAATTAAATATCGTTTCAAAGTAAATATTTTAAAGAAGATGTTGTTTTATTATATTAAGCTATTTTTATGTTGAATAAAGGAAGAATATTGGTGAAAAAATCACTTTGATTTTTGGGTATTTCACGTTCTTTTAATTTGTGATTTCTTATTGTAAAAAGCTTAAATCTAAAAATTTTCTCAGATAACTATTTGCCCAAGGATCTATGCTATAGGATATAAATGTTTGTTAAATCGTTTTCACAGTATTTTTATAAAAATTTCAGCTTGTAAACTGACGCTAAAGTGGAAATTTACAAAACCTGTGTGGACTTATCTTGATAGAATTCTTAAATACTAAACTAATCGCAATATTTTCTCAATTAACTATTTAGACGACGAAATTGCCTAACTATTTATGCCTATAACATATTTGTAGTATTACTGGTTAATGATTGTAACGAGTTGAAAAAGTACTGTTTTTGCGCCAAACGGCGTAAACGCTCTTAAGACGGGTGACGTGCCCGTACCTGGTGGCATGCATCTAGGAGGCCTCTTATTACTTTATTTTTATTTTTTGTTGCTTTCTTTTTGTTGTTTAAATTCAAAATTAGGTACTATATTATGTTATTTTATTGTGTAAAGTTCACGGGTTGCTTACATTATAATATTATGCATGCTGTGGTTATCGTTTGTGTGGGAGCAGTTAGCTGGAGACCTTTGGCTTAATTGTTTATTTTTTTTAATTGTGTTTAATACTGTATCTCTGTTGATAGCCCAATAAAATAAATAAATAAATTTAAAAAAATTAGAATGATTGCCAAGTTAGTAAACACATCCTTGTTTTACGATGTAGGTACCTACTTCAGAACCCATTAAGAACCTGAAAAATCTGTTGTTTTGTTAAGGTACGAAATAAAATTCTCAAGTCCTGAATGGGTAAGCCATTAAGTTCTGGCAGTTTCCTTGCCGTCAATATAAATCGGAAATACCGTGATTTTATTCGTATTACATAAATAAATTAGTTTATCAATTTATCATGTCTTATGATGGTTCACGGTTGATGTCATAAATGTGAAAATTATGAATAATCGCCGGTTATTATGAATAATTACCTCATGATTTGGTAAATGCGATCATTTATGTTTGTATAAAACTAAATAGGCGGCTTAGGGGTGGCCCAAGGGCCACCCACGCTGCACCTCAACCTATTTTCACTTTAAATCAAAACAATGTGTTATAGGCATTATGGCAAAGTAATGTTACGCAAGAAACAGTCCAAACTCATTTTGCCAAATTATATTAATCCTATGATATCAAAACGTTCAAAATGTGAAGCTGTAGGTACATGAGCGCTGTACCTACACGAGCCGGTGTTCTCTTTTATGTTATTTGTTAGTATTAAGGTTACATTATGAAATAATCACTGGTAAATGTGATTAATTTATCACTTTTACCTCACCTGTCGGTAATTATTCATAATAACCGGCGATTATTCATAATTTTCAATTTATCTCTTTAACCGTAACATATACACATCACCACGTCTTTAAGCAACGATTAGATTAATTTAACAATAACGATAGAATAGAATGCGGTTCTTGAAATAGGTTAATGACCGCGCTGCTGCAGTCTGGCCGATATTGTGATTAAAATCACTTGCTATAATGTAGTACAATATTATGGTCTTCGGTAAGCAGAGTCGGCTCCAGCAAGCCAGCCGCGCGGCCTGACGGGCACGGGCGCGCGGCGTGACTTGTTATTGTGGCTGCAGCGTGAGTCAGGTTGTTTGCGACGCTCGCCGAAAGCGTTACGACATCGGACATTCCAGTTGCCGATTGGGGAAATCGGCTCAAAATTAGTCCGTACGCCGTGTGAATGACAACGCGCGCGCCGCCTCCGGCTTTGTCTCGCGCTTGACAATGCTCCCATTCAAGGGTTAAAAAGGTCCACATTTAAAAATTTAATACAACGCAAGGAAAGCGTTATAAATATGGAAGTTTAAAAATACACACTTCATTGATGATTTTTTAGTATTTATCATAATACGATACGTTTTATATTACAAGGCTACTGTCAACGCAACTCTTGTAGCAGAGTTTTGGGCTAACACTGTGTAGATTTGTTGTCGACAGGACAAAAAGAAAATACATTTTATTTATTCAGAAAACACAGCTCTATAATATATTACAAACATGCATTCTAACGGATTCTTTATTTATATTATTGCAATATTATAATTATCAGTCAAAGGGGATACATAAAACATTGTTTAGAGATGAATTATTTATTGTAGAATTCTTTCATTAAAACTAGCATTGTATTTATTTTATTCAAATATAAATCAAATTATGCTTTGAAAAAGTACAGTCAAAGCAAAATCTAAGTAGCATATTCAGCTCATAATTTTAAGAAATAACCCAGCAAACGTTGTTTTGCACCTAGGTTTATGAAAAATTGTTTACGTCCCTTCAACCTACTGATTACACACAAATCCGTCAAGCTATTTCGAAAGTTTTATTACTTACAATGTGACTGGAGAATTAAATACAAGGTCGCCCAGGCGCAAGTGACCGCCCGAAACCATAAAAGGGCTAGTGCCCATTTTCACCATCAATCCCTAATTTTTAAGTGACAGGAATTTTGTTTTCATAGGGGTCACTCAAAAATTAGGGACTGATGGTGAAAACGGGCATTAGTGTATTATTTTTCAAGTTTGTGTAGAGAAAGGGTATTTATATATTTTTCCAAGAAAACACAGTGTTTCTCTTCAAATTAACTTTTATCATTTAATCGGTTTAGATTTAGCCTCGATATATCAATCGAGATGCCTTTTAATAGAAAAGGCTGTATCTCGCATGTAAAGTAAAAGCTCCCTCAGTCGATCCCTGGTTGTTGCTTGTTGCAGACGCTGGAGAAGTTCGAGTTCGTGAAGGTGCTGGGCAAGGGCACCTTCGGCAAGGTGGTGCTGTCGCGCGAGAAGGGCACGGGCAAGCTCTACGCCATGAAGATCCTCAAGAAGAACCTCATCATCCAGAAGGACGAGGTGGCGCACACCATCACCGAGAACCGCGTGCTCAAGAAGACCAAGCATCCCTTCCTCACGGTGAGCCTGCTTGCCTTCTCGCTCGCACTCGGGGAACACTGCCTTTTTTTTTTGCGCAGGAAAATACTTTGCGTATACCCGCCGCCTCGGGGGAAGCGACGGGTTATGTGGGACTCCCTTGTCGGGTGGCAGCAATAGCGGCTGTCACCCGACAAGTATACCCACTAAAAACCTGCGGTGCACCCTCTGCGTTTTACTGGCACGACGTGGAGTCCTACAGATTCAGACCACGCCGTGCCGACGCATGGCCCAGCCTTTGCCGGGCCTCCCGCGCTAAAGAGGGGGTCTGCCGGTACACTGGCAGACCCCCCAGACAGGGTGGGACCGTGCAATGTGGGTGATGGGCCCCCCGGCCTAACACCCACTGGTCTCACCGGGGAACACTGCCTGAATATTACTTGACTTATGTCGTTCTCTCTCGGCTGGCGCTCGGGTCAGTCTTTAATTCGTTGTTGACTCCCCAATAGTCGACCGCGTCCACTTCTTCCGTTTCAGCTCGTAATGACAACTTCTCAAAATGACAACCGGGGCGCAAAATGTCCACTTCTCGAAATGACAACTTCTTAAAATGTCAACTTCGCTGAAAGACAACTTCTCATAATTATAGTCTATTTCTCACAATGACAAATTCGCATTTGGTCAACTTCGCATAATGTCAACTACTTGTTGATATTTTATTTTCATTATATCTAGAGTTCTAGTTCTTCTAGAAATGTCATTATGCGAAGTTGACCAAATGCGAATTTGTCATTGTGAGAAATAGACTATGAGAAGTTGTCTTTCAGCGAAGTTGGCATTTTAAGTATAGATGACCCACGCTGAACTGTCCCACCAAACTCAATGACAGGGGGGCGCTACCATCGTTCAACTATATGGTTTCCAACATGGCAAAAATCTGAACCAGCGATCCGGTATTGACGGTGGCGCCCCACTGTCAATGTCATCGACAGGACAGTCCAGTATTTTGGAACTATAGTTGTCATTTCGAGAAGTGGACATTTTGAGAAGTTTTCATTACGAGCTGTAACGTCCACTTCGACTTGACATCTCGCACCTCGCTAGCGTGTTGATTCCTCCGGCTTGTGCGCAGGCGCTGCGCTACTCGTTCCAGACGGTGGACCGCGTGTGCTTCGTGATGGAGTACGCCAACGGCGGCGAGCTGTTCTTCCACCTGTCGCGCGAGCGCTCCTTCAGCGAGGAGCGCACGCGCTTCTACGGCGCCGAGATCGTGTCGGCGCTGGGCTACCTGCACGCCGAGGGCATCATCTACCGCGACCTCAAGCTCGAGAACCTGCTGCTCGACAAGGACGGCCACATCAAGATCGCCGACTTCGGCCTCTGCAAGGTACTCGAACGGACTCGTAAGGCGTTCGTTATATGTAAAGTCAAATTCGTTTGTCGTTGTCGTGTGTTGAAATTTAATCTAAATATTACTTTACTAGCTTTCCGGACTACATTATATATAGCCTACATATTTTACGGAACCCATTTTTTTTTCCCAAAATAAAATTTAGCCTATGTTACTCGTGGATAATGTAGCTTTTGAATGGTGAAAGAATTTTTAAAAACAGTCCAGTAGTTTCTGAGCCTATTCATTACAAATAAACAAACAAAGTTTTCCTCTTTATAATATTAGTGTAGATAAATACTCTCGATATTAAATAAATCGCACCTCCCGCGACAAGCACTTTCAAACGTATGCATCCCCACTTCCCGCCAATATTGGCAACATTTAAAATCCTAGTTCTAAACTTCATTTCATTAAAGGAAAGGTTTTTACCCCAAAAATGTGTTTTTAGAAGCATCCACTTCTTCAAAAAATAGGTAGTTACGCTTGAGCCAACTTTTATGGCTATAAAACTGTTGAATTGGGATTAATCGCTATCCATCTATTAAAGAGGACACGTGTGATCATTATTTGGTTTTATAACTATAAAATTTGGTCTAATTGATCCCAGAGGTGAGCCCAAAGTGAGGTCTTTTTTCAAGTCACATTTATGGTACATGTTAATCATTTATTAAGAAATTAAATGTGTTTTTCTTTAAGGATATTTATTGGGCTTTCAAATAACACCAATATTGTTGGGGCACCATGATTGTGTCAGTAGAAACGAGTTTTCTTGTAAAACGTAGGTGGGCCGATTTTTGTGATGACCAGTATAGTTCTATAACCGTTTGTGAGAAGAGCGGGCTTCTCGTACACTCGAGCGTACGAATGGCGCTCTCGTGTACGAGTGCCTGCTTACAGAGTAAATACAAATAAGTAGGTTATCTTCATAGAAACGTACCGAGCGCGGTTTGTATGTGAGCGCGCCAATACGTATGCGGCGCGCACGCACACACTGTTAAAATTTAGCGTGGATTAGCGGGGAGCCAGTCGTGGTTGCGCCGAATTATGTCAGTGTGTACGTGCGCGCCGCATACGTATATTGGCGCGCTCACATACAAACCGCGCTCGGTACGTTTCTAATAACCTACTCATTTGTATTTACTCTGGTGCTGACGCGCGCCCGCAGGTCAACATCACGTACGGGCGCACCACCAAGACCTTCTGCGGCACGCCCGAGTACCTGGCGCCCGAGGTGCTGGAGGACACGGACTACGGGCCCGCCGTCGACTGGTCTGTGCCACGCCTTATCTTGTGCTCACCATTCATATCAACATCCCGCATATGTGTCTATTATACCGCTTTCGTTGTGCTCGGCGCGAGTTCACATCGAACGTCGTAGCCAGTGAGGGCGTCAAAAAATCGATGAAGATTTTAGCTCTCGAAAGCGTCCGCCGGGGACGCGGTACTTTCTGTCATACTTTCGTGTCATTTTTTTACGCAATCGCTGGCGATGACGTTCAATGTAAACTCGCACCGAGAGCGAACATGTCGCTCGCTCGTTTAAAATCAGCTCATTTAAACTCATCAGATTAACGCGAAGCCCTTTAGTGATTTGTATGTGCAGCGAGTGATCGTTAAGAGCTCGAGGCCCGTGCTAATGCCGCCTGCCCGCAGGTGGGGCGTGGGCGTGGTGATGTACGAGATGGCGTGCGGGCGCCTGCCCTTCTACAACCGCGACCACGACGTGCTGTTCTCGCTGATCATGAACGAGGAGGTCTGTGCATCCCGACACTTCCACAGGAGCCCGGAGCCCGGACGAAAAGAACGTCCGGATCGTTTTTCCTCGAGGGACGACTCGATCCGGGATCCCCGTCACGCTCGGAGTGCGTCGCGAGTTCGCGACTCGTTCCACGAGATTAAAAATCTGCTCCGATATTCTCCATCGTGTTCCTTCACGAGCACAGGCACGCGGGACCGCCGGATCGGGTCGTTCCGCCGCTTCAAAAATATTTCGCCGTTTAAAAGCAATTAAGAGAGAGAAAATAACTTTAAAAAAAATAAAACCGACTTCAAATGCGTGAACACAAATAATACCTATTCAACAAAAAATAATCGTTCAAATTGGTTCATAATCGGCGGAGATATTGCGTATAAAAAAGTTCATCCCCAATTTTCCACCCTTGGGGGTTGTTTTTTTATTATTTTTAAATGGGACCACCCTTGAGGTATTATCTATACGCCGAAAAAAGATTTGTTCAAATCGGTTCATAATTGGCGGAGTTATCGCGTAACAAACATAGAAAAAAAAAACATACGGGTCGAATTGAGAACCTCCTCCTTTTTTTTTTAAGTCGGTTGAAAATGTTTAAAATGTTGCATTATTTCATCGCCGACGTTATAACGCCGCCGTGTCGCGTCGCAGGTGCGGTTCCCGCGCGCGCTGTCGGCGGCGTGCCGCTGCGTGCTGGCCGGGCTGCTGACCAAGGAGCCGGCCAAGCGCCTGGGCGCCGGGCCCGACGACGCGCTCGAGGTCATGCACCACCCCTTCTTCGCCTCCATCAACTGGGCCGACCTCGTCGCCAAGAAGGTAACCGCGGGGAGCGGACCGCTCTCCGGTCCCGATCCCACGTCGTATATTTTATTACAAGCTTTTTATTACAAGCTTTATGACTTCACTTGTTAGTATGTGTGGAACAAATCTTGCAACTGAAATTAAGACCAGTTCTCCTCAACCGATTGAGCTGAAATTTGGTATACTTGTGTAAGTACGATGACAATGCAATGTTATGGTACCATTGAGCTGGTCTGATGATGGAGACAGGAGGTGGCCATAGGAACTCCTAAACGAAACGGCGGAAACTCATCGAGTTTGGGTTCATTGGATTTGTCTTTTCGAGCACATTGGTGCTAAATGATCACCAGGGCCCAGAGATTGAGATACTAAAAAGTGTAAAATAAAATTATAGTAAAAAAACTTATAAAGCTTGTGTTTAAAAAAGTTTTTTTACTATAATTTTATTTACACGCACACGAAAAACCTAAAAGCGAAACGAACGCTCCGATTCGACTTTCGGGCTTTGAATTTTCGCCTCGTTCGCCCGCCCGCAGATCCCGCCGCCCTTCAAGCCGCAGGTGGAGTCGGAGACCGACACGCGCTACTTCGACTCCGAGTTCACGGGCGAGTCCGTCGAGCTCACGCCGCCCGAGCGCCCCGACCACCTCGCGCGCATCCAGGAGGAGCACTTCCCGCAGTTCTCGTACCAGGTGAGTGTCGCACCCGCCCCCGCTCACCAGGGTTGCATGATTTAAATCAAGGTGATTTAAATCACGATTTTTATTGCATGATTTTTTTAATAAAAATCACTGATTTAAATCTATATACTAAAATGGAATTAATACAACGCTGGCAGTGCGTATTAATCAACTGTAATGTTCAAAACAATGTTAATATTAGGTGTTCAAGTATAAAATAGACGTTCTGTATGGAAAATTAGAAAAAAATATTTTAACTATAGATTTTTTTTGGGAAAAAAATAAAATTGATACTTGTAAAAAGATATTAGTGTTTTTGTAATGGAAACAGACACCACTTAGGACGAGCTGTTTTGACGAGTTTTTTCTTGTTTCAGTAAAAATATGACATACNAGCGGTTCTGGAAACAGATTGGTGCAATGGTGTCATGGAGCACCTGGTTTTGTCACCCTTCAACGGTCAAGTCACACAACATTAACTATAATAATAAAGAAATCGCAGTAAGGAACCATAGACTTGGCACGACTTTGTCTAGATTTCATTACTTTTTAGAGATAAACAAGCAGCTCCATCGAGACTTGGCTAGTTTTTTACAGAATGTTTTTGGTGGGATGTTTGTTTTTCAAATTAAACCCATTGGGGTCTTCCCAAATCGTAGTCATTAATTTGACCAAAATTTTCGAGTGTGTCATTAGGAACATAATATTTTGTGTTTACATAAATAAATTACAGCTTTATTCACACACGGGTATTACGCTAATGGGCCAGTCATTCCAAAAAATGAATTACGTTCTTTATTTCATATAACATTTTATAACCTTAGAGTCCTTACAAATTATAAATAAAACACTTATTTTGATCCAATATAATTCCAAGTGCTAAATAAGCCTTTATAAATGTTTTACCCATATCAAAAAAGTGCTATTTTTAACTTAGCTCACTTTATTTCAACACACTTCTTGTAGCAGCTTCGTCCAAGTAAATTCTTGCCTGTTACTTTAAAATCTTTTTTTAATGCATACAAAGGCAGGTATTTGACCACAATCGCACCTGGTGTTAAGTGGGATGCAGTCTAGGATGGTACTATCTACCCTGTAAGTGCCTATTCACTGTCGCCTTGAAAAGGCCCGGATTACAGTCTTCGGGAAAGACAGCAGCAGGCAACGAATTTCAGTCCCTAGCTGTTCGCATTATAAAAGAGTCATCGAAACGCTTAGTGTAAGCTGGTGGAATGTGAGCATAGGGATGTTACGCTATCCTGCGTCTGGTTGTTCGGTCATTATCATCATTGTCATCATCACATTTCAGTCTTAGGACGTCCACTGCTGACTCTAGACCTCCCACAATGATGTTCTTAATGACCGATTGGTACTTGGTTAAAGGCTTGCATCCAGCGCCTTCCTGCGCTACCTTTATGAGGTCGTCGGTCCACCTTGTGATGAAGAAGGCTTCACCGTCCTACGCCTTACGTTAACATGCGACTATTAATATAGGTACTTATTTAAAATGATTAAGTACAATTTGTACAGAGTAAATGGCAACGTAGATAATCAATTATTCTTTTTGGTTGTAATTAAAATAAGCCCAGCCACTAATACACTTTTCGTTCTAGTGAGGTGACAGTAGTGTGGACTGTTACGACCGTTTTATCGTTTTCAGTCGATATTATCGATATTCCTAGAGCACAAATGCTCCAGTAATAGATGAACGCACACACAAAAGCCTTGATGCAGAATTAAATACTATTGACTCAATGTGAGTTAATAGTATTCCGAAGCCTTACAATTGAATTAATACTTAAATTACTTTATCAATTAGTGCTTATGTTTACGAGATATTAAATAGACAAAAAATTGTGCATAAAAATATTGTTCAAATCAAATCAAAAGTCTTTATTTGCGTTATTCCAGGTTCCTTAAGATATTAGATAAAAAGTAATATTGTATTGTTCAGAAGAGCAAAATTACTGCTTAGGCTTGCGAAGTTGCGACGTTATAATCAAACAAAGTAGGTACAAATGAGTTTTACTAACCACTTGGTCCGTTAGTCCTACACAAAACAAACAATAAATCATAGGTCCATCTATTGAAATTTTTAAGTAATTGTTTAATCGACTTAGCCCTTTGATCGATAGTTATTATCGACTAAGCCCATCACTAATCCAGTCCATAATTAATTTTGTGAGCTGACTCCTTAATAGGGTTAGCTGTCGAAAGGGAAATTAAACTAACAAAGAATTAAAACTGCGATAAATTACCTACGCTGAACATAAACCAATTTCAGAGAACAAAGCATTCGTGTTCAATTATAAAGCTATGAATTCGTAATAAGTCTTGAAAAGTTTTTAGCGCAATAAATAAATTGTGGTGGTCATGATATTCAATCTTTACAAAATAAAGTTTGAGTTACGAGTCTTCCAGTGACTTGACCCACTTTTAGCTTGGTCCACGGGCCAAGCCGCAGGTTTGAATTTTGAAATAGTTTTTCTACCAGTAACTACCACCTCTAAGATTCTAGAGTAGATTTTTTGATTTGGTGTTTAATTTGTTAATTAAACATCAACCACTGGAAGAAAAACTATTTAAAAATTAAAACCAGCGACTTGACCCGTGGACCAAGTTAAAAGTGGGCCAAGTTACTGAAAGACTCTTATTTATCTGATTGGTGTTGGACACCAATAGGCGAACCGACCTTATTTGTCCTTGAGTTGTTGCCTGTTAGCACATTTTGCGAAATAAAGTAATGTTTCTCATAACAAGTTTATTTTCAGTTGTAAAAGTGTTATTTTCTGTAATTAAGTAAATAGAGTCCACGCAGACTATTTATTACGGAATATTTATCAGACGATATTTTGGTCGACTTCTATTTTTTACGAGGAATCAGCCGATATCAAATCGATGTACGCCCGTATTCACAAACATTACTATGAGGTCTCACAGTGCGGGAGGACGCACAGGGTGACACACGAACCAATCACAGAGCTCTATTCAAAGCTGTGCGCTCGATTTGCTGCTTCACTTAAGCAAGCATTGTTTGTGAATACGGGGCACGGGCGTTAGGCTGAGTGACACCATAGTGCAATCTCATTTTAACCGTGACTATAACAGTACCGGTGTTTTTGTATACGTTTGTTAGATTTAAAGTAAGATGGTGCTACCCAGGCGTCAACAACTCCTTTCAAAAACTTCAAAATTTTGCCTTAAAGTCTAAAATGGTTTTGAATTACGTTCAACAACATTATACGTCCACTTTGAGGTATTCCCTAGAACTGTTCATATGAAATTAAATAAAATTAAACATCCAAATTCTCTGAGATAAACATAACGGACGGTTTTCATTTGCTCTGCACACAATAATGACTACCAACAAAAATCCCCAATGTTTTGCTGCTATTTGGCAAATATTTGATAACAAGAGCCTCTAGCTTTAAAATAGTATATTTACTGAGCCAGCCAAGCGTTACAGGCACTTCCTGCCAGTGGTGCGACCACAAATATTGTTCCAAGTTTTGGTCCAGCTTGGCTCAAAATAAACAACCCTTATATCGTATATTTACTTCTTTCTATGTGAGTTTTTATTTAAAGTAGTTTAAGTTTAACAGTGTTGTGTTTTTAAAGTAGTAGGTATACGCAAGGAAAAAAATCTAAAATGTTGATTTTATATTTACAAAATCGATGAAACGCATTGTAGGTGTTGACTACTGGAAGACAATAGACGGGCTAGGTCCAAGGTTGTAAGATAGCACCCAGGTGTGTTTACTTACCCACATATTGATGCCATGCATTTTTCTTAGTGCAAATACAGGGTGTTCGGAAGAGCGCTAGCCAAACAAGTAGGGTCTATAGTTATAGCTATTTTTGCTTTGGTGGACTTCGACAAAAAGTAACGTAATCGAAATGTTTTCAAACAAGATAATAAATTAAATTAGCCTATACTTGAATTGAGCTATAAACATTGTAAACTCCAATATTTTTAGCTAAGCAGAAACCAACATTTTGAATTTGAATTTGAATATCCATCCACACAAACTTTCACATACAATTTTAGTATAGATCTGATTACAGATTCATAGAAACGCCTGTGTCAACATTAACCATTCGATTTGTAATCAGTAACCAAGACTCGTTAAATATTGGACGACTTGGCGAATTAGCTCAAACCATAAATACATGTGATTAAAGTATAACAGAAATGGACAGAGAAAGCGCTCTACATAAAACTAAACTAAAAAGAAAATATACAAACTTTAATGGAAATTAAAACATTAATTAGGTAATGTAGGAATATGATTGGTCACTTACGTAGTTTGTCACAGAAGAGATTCATCAGAAAAATAATTTTGTTATTTTTTTTTGCGTTAAGAGTTGCATCTCAAACTAATTTGAAAATTATAAAAAACTTGAAAAAATCGAACTGCCTAAAGCAGGAATCGAACCCACGACCTTTCGCTTCCCAGCGGCTGCTCTTCCATGTGAGCTACTTAGATTTAGTTCGATTTCCGCCTTTTTTTTTTTTTTTTTTTTCAAAAAATTCATAGTTTTGTGTAAATGAGACAACAAGAGGTTAAGATTTCTCAACACACATTTTAATGGCTACTGAATCTATTTCTATTATTTATCGACATGCGATCGCCACCAATCATATCGCATTATATTTGCTTAACACGAAACCCTTACTAAAATGCAATTAATCAGATCTGTATGCGGAGTCAACATCATCAATTAGCGCGCCATAGTAAAGAGACACCGACATATTGGTCATTGATTAAACATCACTGTTTGAATGTCAAGTAGTCTGCGACAATGGAGTTCGGTAATTGAGTACCTAGATAAGTTAAGGCTTGGTATTTCTTCTAAAGTAGGTATTTCGCGCTGTCAAAATCTGCGCGCGCAATTCTTCGCCGAAAACAGCGCGTCAAAGAGCTCCCGCCACAATTTCCAGCTACACAGTATAGAAATACGCAGTTGGTTAGGTTAGGTTGACTTCCTTCCTTTCAAGCGTCACACTCACAACACTTTCTAATAGAAATCATATCCAAGTGATACAAATAAAAACACCTTTCAGACTTTTTGGGAATATATTCTAGAATCGAATAAATATAAAATATAACTGCAGAAGTAAACACTGTTCAAAGTGGCCGTGGCGTCGCCCGACCTTCTGGAAGTTCTGCGCCGGCTTAACCGTCCTCCGTAAGCGCCACCGCGCGACTGATTGAGATTGTCCAAGCCGTCATGGGCGATTTTTTCCACATTTTTTAACATAGTAACTAAATAAGACGCAATATAAAAATTTCATCCGTTAAAAGCCCTCAAGTTATTTCTGAACTTTAGTTTAGTAAAAGATACAGAATCTCAAATCGCTTATTTTAAAAATAAAACAATTATTAGAAAACGAATAGAGGTAACTTTGGGAATTTATTCTATCGAGTCAACTTCATCAAATCGTGTTTCCATCCGTTAATAGCCCTAGAAAATATCCTCAACTATGCTCAAAAAAAATCTTAGCCTTTTATTTTACTGTTTAGTACCTCAAAAATGAAAAATGAAAACCTCATTTTCGCCATTTTCTCTGTTACCCGGCCTTAAGATATATGATAACTAGCTTTCCGCCCGCGGCTTCGCCCGCGTGGAATTTTGTCTGTCACAGAAAAACTATATCACGCGCGTCCCCGTTTCAAAAACCGGGATAAAAACTATCCTATGTCCTTTCTCGGGACTTAAACTATCTCTATGCCAAATTTAATCAAAATCGGTTCAGTGGTTTAGGCTTGAAAGTGAGACAGACAGACAGAGTTATTTTCGCATTTATAATAATAGTATAGAAGTATATCTATAGATGCTTTGAGAATAAGAGAAGTATCGTGAAAATCACTTTTACTTGTATAACAAGCTCGTGGCCGCGGCTTTACACAATGTCTTTATCCATCACCATGACTTGAACTGTGACCGACGTTTTTTTGTATGGAGTTTATCAGACTTTTGACGTTAAAGTACGATAGTGCAACCCAGACTACGAGTCAACTAATCTACGAGTATACCTTATATTTATCAGCGATAACGTTGAATTCTAATGGTAAAAGAGTCTTTCAAATCGTTCTTATATGTAGTTTCGTAGGTTATTCAACACAAACAATCAAATCTTTCCTTTTTAGAAATATTAGTTTAAGAGTAATAGTCGTTTAACTCATGTATTATAAAATTTCTTAACTAATAAAAATCTAAGGGATAGAAGAAAATATTAAAAGTGACTTTAGATGAAGAAATTTACTGTGGTAACGACAGACAACTATGGAACCCTACACTGCGCGTGGCACGACACGCACTTGGCCATTTATTTTTTTAGAAATAGTAGATTATAATCTAAACAAAATTTTAAATAATACATGTTAAGAGAGTGAATGAGAATTATCACCTCTATAGATCATAAAAAGTTAAGATTTTAAAGCTTACCATGAAAACATAGCATTTAAATTCGTCATTCTGTGGTAGGTTGCTGTGCTCTCAAAGTTATTAAGTAGGTACTACTTTACCACCAAGTGTTTTAATAAACCAACTTTATGAGCGTAAACTTTGCAAGTGTTCTCGTTTTAGTATTATTAATATTAACCGGCAGACAGTGGTGATTGAGTTTGTTGCGGCGCTTCTTCTCAGCACTTGCCAAATGTTGGTCTCAAAGCGCTGGTAGGGTAAAAAGATTATGAGACATGTAGAGGCTCCTTAAGAGCAAAATGACGATTTGTAAGAACTATTTATTAGTCTAAACAAATAAAGAAATTTTGACTTTGACTTTAGTTTTCAGTGAGAGGCAGATTTCTTCATTGCTACACACATAATTTACATAATAAGGTTACAATATTTATTGATTTACATTTCCATAATATTTCTGTTAACTTCGTTGCGGGTCCAATGACAGTTAACTTTCCCCCGGGGCTTTGACCTTCACTGGTTGGGTTATTGGCGGTCAAGCTGTAGATCCTGACTACACAGGAGTTGCAGCGGTGGGAACGAGAGGTTTGAATAGTCCCGTTAATACAGTAGCTGTAGGTATTTATCCATTCAACGTTCATAAAGCCACATAATTAACGTACAGTTTTTCCACGCTGCGAAATGTTATAGAACTAAGCGGATTACCTTTAACGTTACTAAATCCAATTATCACTGAATTTGTGCCTAAGCTAAAAACTAACTAACAAACTAATGACTGTCGATTCACTAGGGTTAAGTTGGAATAATAATTGCTGTGTTAAATTAAATACGAACCTAAACCTTGAATTAGCTGGGCTTTTAGACGAAAACTACCAAGTAACTGAAGTAATTTACTTTGATTGGACTAATTATGATTGGTTCGGATGATTAAAGATATGAATGAAATAAATTGCTTTTATCTTTATTAACTAACCCGAAACTAAGCTCTCTAACTAATTTTATGTTTTAACAAACTCAAAAAAATATACCTGTTATTAAAAGAATACTTTATTTCTAGTTTATTTTCACTTCTGCTTAAATTTATATGAACAACAAAGATCCAAGCAAGTTCAACCTACAACTTGAAATTTACAAAATATGTAACAGGGGTTTCAATCAGGAATTTATCATTGCTAAATTCTATCAAAAAAAGTGGTAGGGCAAGCTATATTTGGGACGTGTATAAGTGCCCTACAAAGGCCCTATGTACTGAATAAACTATGTATTTGAATCAGAAAGTGTAAATTGTGAAAAATAACGAACCAAACAAAGTTTTCTCATCATCACTTTTCTTTCCAGATGGCGCACTAGTCTGCTATCAGAAGACCCGAGACCACACAATAATGACCGTTAACGGAATACAAATAAAACCTCTTCAAGATCTTCAAGGCATGTACACGTAGATACCAGAAGAGAACATGGGTATACCACGATCGCATGTCACAACCTTAACCATGGTTCTTTTATGGAACTTCTGTCTTTGCACAAACGTAGTTAGAAATAGAAGAAAAAGCGACCTGACAAATTACCCTGTAGATAGATACATTAATTTAGACCTAGATGTATACAATCTAAGAGTTAAGAGATCTGACAATGTTACAAAAGATTCAACAGAATCTGAATTTATTCTTGTTAATAAATCTAAGGAAAATAAATCAGAAGACATTGATAAAGAAGTAAAGGATACAACAGATTACGAAATGTTCAATTACACAGAAGAGCCGTGTGTGGGTGATCCAGAATATTGCAATATGACGGAAGAAGCGTACATGGAGATGCTAAATGAATACATATTCCCACACCCATACGAGTGGGTTTTGATTGCGACTCACGCGATTGTGTTCGTGATAGGCTTGATAGGGAACGCGCTAGTGTGCATAGCAGTGTATAGGAACCACAGTATGAGGACGGTGACGAACTATTTCATAGTGAACCTGGCAGTGGCAGACTTTATGGTGATCCTGATATGCCTGCCCCCGACTGTGCTGTGGGACGTGACTGAAACGTGGTTCTTCGGGACAGCTATGTGCAGGATCGTATTATACTTTCAGGTGAGTGTCTTTTACATTTTTCTATTTTGCATACTGTAGAGAAATAATTAACTTTTTTAAAAAATAAAACTGACTTCAAATGCGTGAACACAAAAAAAAATAAAAATTAAAAATATTGCGTATAAAAAAGTTCATCCAAAATTTTCCACCCTTGGGGGTGAAATATTTTCTTCAAATTCGCATGAAACCACCCTTTTGATAATACCTATTCAACAAAAAAATAATCGTTCAAATTGATTTATAATCGGCGCAGATATTGCGTAGAAAAAAGTTCATCCTCAATTTTCCACCCTTGGGGGTTGTTTTTTCTATTATTAAATTTAAATGGGACCACCCTTGAGGTATTACCTATACGCCGAAAAAAGATTTGTTCAAATCGGTTCATAATTGGCGGAGTTATCGCGTAACAAACATAGAAAAAAAAACATACGGGTCGAATTGAGAACCTCCTCCTTTTTTGAAGTCGGTTGAAAAAGTAGCCTATAGGATTGTGATAAATTGTCGGACACAAAAATATGAGTAGCTATAAAACAAAGAATTAATTTGTGTAAAAAGTAAATAGAAATCAATGAATTTGTTAAAACTATGTAGTTTAAGGAAAACATCGGATGCAGGCAGTGCAGAAACAGTCGTGGTAATTCTTGGGGGAGGCCTTTATCTTACAAAATAGGAGTCTAGACCAGCAGCAGTCTTTGGCTGAAACTTAACAGCTCATGCTCTCCCTTCACCCCTTCACAGAAGCTGATCACATTATGAAATGTAGAATCCCAACTAATATTATAAATGCGAAAGTAACTCTGTCTGTCTGTCTGTCTGTCTGTCTGTCTGTCTGTCTGTCTGTTACGCTTTCCCGCTTAAACCTCGCAACCGATTTTGATGAAATTTGGCATAGAGATAGTTTGAGTCCCGGGAAAGAACATAGGATAGTTTTTATCCCGGTTTTTGAAACAGGGACGCGCGCGATAAAGTTTTTCTGTGACAGACAAAATTCCACGCGGGCGAAGCCGCGGGCGGAAAGCTAGTATTTAATATAATAAGTAACTTAGATAGGGGTCTCTCTTCTGATTAATTTCGTCGCGGATCCTTCCAATGACTTAACCCCGGGACAAAATTTGCTTTCATTAGTTGGGTTTTTATTGGCGGTCAAGCTGTAGATCCTGGCTGCACAGGAGTTGCAGCAGTGGGAACAAGAGGTGGGAATAGTCCCGTTTTAACTTAGATCCTTTAAAATTTAGTAAAATGCATCGCAACGAAGAAACTTTCAAACCGCATAAAAATTGCATAAAACAATTCACCACATCGCCTTTAGGTAAGGTAGCAGGAAGGCGCTGGACGCTGGCCGCTTCCAACCGGGCAACATGGAAAGCATTGGGGAGGCCTATGTTCAGCAGTGGACGTCCTGTGGTTGAGATGATGATGATGATGAGATTCTTGATCGGATGAATATAGGAGATACGAAATTCGCTCAGTCAGATAGTCTTTTTACATAAGATACCCCAATATTTACCTCGATGTGCCGTCGTGTTGTTTACTTATTAATAATACTAAAACTATGTATGCTGGTAAACTATTACAAACTATTAATAGTTTTCAAACTCGTGTTAATTAAATTGATTCAAAGCATGAAGTTAACGAGACACGTGGATGCCTTCAAAGTCACCGCACGTACGTTAAATAGATGTTACAAAGAATAAATTAATGTTATATTAATTAATTCTTATAATAAGTAACACCAACTCAAACAAAGCCCCTACTACGCGCCGTTTAAATATGTACGTGTTAACTTAAGATAATTTAAGCTCATAATTTCATAATAATATTATTATGATTTTATGAGCTTAAATACAGGCAGTGGGCGGGCACATAGCTCAGTTCGAGTCTTCCAACGACTTGGCCCACTTTTAGCTTGATCCACGGGCCAAGTCGCTATATCGCCAATTTTTTTTCCGGCAACTGGCCCTTCTTCTTTGTGCATATTAATAAATTGAACACCAAATCAACAAAAATCTACTCCAAAAATCTACTCTAGAATTTTAGAGTGGGCTCAAAATGCCTGAAGAAAAAATATTTAAAAATTAAATCCCGCGACTTGCGACTCCATAGCTCGTAGAGCTAATGGCCACTAGGAAAGAAAAGTTCTCGAGTGGCGACCACGGGCCGGAAGACGTAGTGTGGTCACTTAGGTGGACCGACGATCTGGTGAGGGTCGCGGGAAATACCTGGATGCGGGCAGCACGGTACCGGTCGTTGTGGAAATCCTTCATCATCATCATCATCATCATCTCAGGCAAAGGACGTCCACTGCTGAACATAGGCCTCCCCCAATGCTAAATGTTAATGTTAGATTGGTAGCGGCCTGCGTCCAGCGCTTTCCTGCTACCTTTATGATGTCGTCGGTCCACCTTGTGGGTGGACGTCCCACGCTGCGTTTTCCGGTACGCGGCCTCCACTCCAGAACCTTGCTGCCCCATCGGCGGTGGAAATCCTTGGGGGAGGCCTTTATCCAGAAGTGGACTTCATTTGGCTGAACCTGACGTACGAAACTTAATATGCTGATCACACCAAGCTGTGACAATTAGTCGCAATTATTATAATTAATTAATGATTCAATTAATTGCGTCTCTAGCTCATTCAGGTGTGATATGAAAGCTAAATTACATTTCAACTTAGTACTTACACTTTGTATTTTAATTGAAGGGCGAAAATGTAATACAATCTCTTCCTAATGAATTATAGTAAATATCTACGAGAGGTTAGGACCTTTAAAAGTAAATAAATACCTATCTACCTAAAATATTTTTAATTCAATATTATTAATGCCTGGCTCTCTTTTTGGTTTTATTGTCTCAAATACATATTACGAGCTATTCTTTACTATTTATTCAATATAACTTTAATATATGAAATAGCTACAAAAAACGTAATATCAATCTTTCTCGGCGATAATGGTTTTCGCAATTTCGTATATAATATTTTTTTCATTACACTTACGAATATTAGTATAAAACTTGCCGACGTTAGAATTTTATTTTTAAAGGCTATTTTTTGTAGCTGTTTTTTTTTTAATCATTATGAGTTACACATACAGGATTTGATTGTTAACAGGTGGTGTTATTTAAACATAATACAGGATGATTTTTCAGTCAGTATCCAAATTTTTAGGAGCGACTCAGAATCAGTAACTTAATAAAGGACAATGTTCGTTCTCCATACATTGTTCGCCGTTAGATCAACAGTGCCGAAATAATACTTTCTAGGTTCTAAATGACACAAATCTTTATGTAAGAACAATTATTCCTGGCGGACCAATTCTATAAACTTATTGATAGCAATATTGTTATCATAACCTCTTACTTACTAGTATTGTATTATATTATTTTATGCACATCGATTTGGGAGATGTTCTGTATTGTAGTTGTCGCAGCCAAATTGTATTATAATATTGGACGGGTTTTGGAAATAGCTCGGCGTTCCACTTTTATGATTTACTTACTTACATTTTGCACGTAAATAAATAACATGAATCCTATGTTTACTTTCCACTCTTGACATTTAACACGTGACTTACCAAACTAACTATCTCCATGGTTACCGTCTTAGTCTATGCATGACTAGGGATTGAACAACTTTTAATTGAATATTATTAACAATTCTCGATAATTATTATCGATTGAAAAATATTCGGTATTTGAATCGAAAGATATATTCAATTTTATCAATATCAAAATATTCAATTTTAATAATAAAATAAATATTATTTACTACCACCTATGAAATGTTCTAAAAATTGCCTGGAGCGCTCCCCCAATCCTGGGTTTTCCCTTTCCAAGCTGAGAGGATATCATTTTGGTTCTATCGATACATTATAAAGGTACTTAATATTTGAAATGTATTACCAATTATTGTTATAAGCATTTTGAGCGAATAAAACTTTCAATTCTATTAGAACTTTAGACATTTCTCTCACTTTAAGCGGCATTGGATTTTTCATCGAATTTTGAAACTGTAACAGATATATTAAAGATGATCCCATATTGTTGTCATTGTCTATATCAGTGTTATGATCACAATTCTTTTTATTTTATTCATGACCTTCGACCAGTTGGACACATTAGATAGCTTCTTGTAGTATCGTGCAATATATTTTTAACTTTTAATTAAAATCTAGTCATACTGTAGCAATTTGGACGATTTATTTTATTTACAAGATCGGTATCTTATTGTCTATGATGACCGCAGTCAACATCACTATTACATGGATTCCTAACAATGAAGTACGGCATTGCCTTGTGCCGATTTTACATAGATTTTATCGACACAAATTATGGAACTTCATAGGATATGGAGCAGGCCACGCCCTAAAATGTCCGGATGTCGTCATAGTATTATGGAATACATATAAAATACTTTTATTATTTCATTTTTTAATCCTCAAGTGTCCGTTACAATCTAATTAATATTTAAGTATTCAAAAAGTAAGAGATTAATTTTGATACTTTACTGCTGTGCCCAGGAATCTGAGGCGGTTTCTGACAATGTCCTTTACGTAAAAAAAACATTTTTTTTTTCATATCTAAATATTTTTATCCGCTGCGCGGAGTTAAAAATAATTTAGATAAAATTGTATTTTTAAATTGTTCTGTAGAGCTTATTTAAATTTTTGTATACTGATTGCAAAGTCACCCTGTATAATTGTCGATTCATGTGGCTTTCACGCACTCACACCACATTTAAACACCGTTAAAAAACTTGAAAACTTCAACAGGGTCTTGGTAAAGTTACTTAGCAAGTTTTTAAGTGAAAAGTCGTGTTATGAAAATTCAGGTGTTCCAAAAAATATCGATTAAGTTAATTTAGTTAGTATTGGCTTTTGTGTGAAATTTAGTAGGTACAGTCAGCGTCACAGTTCGTGACACCCAAAATAGTGTGTGACGTCCACCTACAAGGTGGACCGACGACATCATAGAGGTCAGGAAGGCGCTGGACGCAGGCCGCTACCA